CTGTCCTTTTTAGGGACCATGTGCAACGGAGATGCATATGGGCTACTTGACGGTCGTATGATTCCTAAGTCCATCATGTGATCGAATTCGTTTTTCGCTAACCTTAGCTTTTCAGGAGCTAGTCGTCGTGCTTTAGAGAATACAGGTGGTCCTGTAGTCGTGATGTGATGTGTAACATTGCTGGTTACACACGGTAGTTTCGGTTGAGTTTGTTGTATCCCAGGGTACTTATCGAGTAGTGGTTGATAGAGTGGGTCTATCATATGTTTAACTGTGACTGGGGATACTCTACAACCAGTAAAAGAAGTTACGCAAACGGACAAATTAGTGTTTCCGTCTACTAGCCTCCGTTTGCGAGTGTCGATGATCAGATTGTGGTGTTGTAGAAGGTCCATACCAATGATTGGCATAGAAACATCTGCAACGACGAAAATCCAGTGGATGGGTTTGCGTAAACCCACGTTAAGGTAAACGTACCTTTTGCCATACGTAGCGATCGGTTTTCCGTTTGCCGCCTGTAAGTTTAGGGTCGATTCGTGAAGTCGGTCGTTAGGATTTGCTGGGAGAACGCTAACTTCTGCGCCAGTGTCGACGAGGTAGCGAACTCTCGTTGTCACATCTGTGACGAATAACAGACGGCTTTGTTCGCCGGCTACGGTTGCCGTTAACGCGTGCCGGCTTGGAAGTTTCCCGAATTGTTTTTCGAATCAGTCGGTTTCGTGTTGGGAAAATTGCAGGGTTTTCTGCAATTTCTGGAAAACTTTCCATACTGGTTATGATACCAGCACCAGTCGGGGTTATCTGTCTCTCGTGGTCTAGAGACAGATCGCTTACGAGAAATGCTTCTACGTGGTGTGCGCGATCTCTTACGGTCGGTACGAAGACTAAGATAACGCGTGAGTGTGTGACATAAGTCGGTTATGTCATTCTGAGTCGTGTGAGGCTTTTCTTTGACTGAAAATACCTCGGTAGTAGGTTTCGTAATTTCTAGAATGCGGTCGGCAGATACAGCTAGTTCGTCTAAGGCGTTGTTCTGGAACGAGACCAGAACTGCTTGCACCTGTTGGGGAAGTTTTGACAAGAAGAGTTGTTTGAATAGACCTTCGTCGAAAGTTCTTGGGCCTATAACCTCTCTCATCCGTTGCAACATGTCCGTCGCAGAACCGTGTTGCAGGTCGATATTGTTGAAGAGTTGATCTAACCTTTGTCGATCGGTTAGGTCTCCTCGTTTAAGAATCGAGCGTTTTAAGATTTCGTAAGGATCGGAAACATCACTAGTAAACATACTAGGTGTTACGTACCTGTTGAATTCGCGCGGTAGTGCCTTGACTACTGCGAGGAATTGTGCACGTGTGTCGATCACGCCGTGCTCGGAAAAGTCGGCTTCTGCGTAGCAAAACCAGGCTTCGATGTTGTCGGGCCAGAAAGGCATCAGTTGAAACGAAGGTGGGGACAAGGTCTTAAGCTTGAGTACTTTAGGTGTCTGTTCAGTCATGATGAAATATGAAGTACGATAATGAACGAGGGGAAAAAATATATATATCCAAGAAAAAACACGAAAAAAAATCACAATGTTAAAAAAAATAAAAAATAAGGCAATGATATATAAAAATCCCAAAAAGGAACAGACTCACAGTTGCAATAAGGTGTACCAGATCACGACGGTCTCACCAATGATGATGTCACAGGTATTCAGTGTTTGACAACGCTTCTACCAGTAACACCTTCTCATATATTTCGTTCCCACCAAGAGAAATCAAAAGACAGAGTCGAGGAGATCGGAAGAGTATATTTGGCGATGACCAATATATCGGGATTCTCTGATCTAATCTGGCTAGCGATTGTGGTTGATGTTGAGCACGGCGTTACCACACGTGATCTGGTGCGGATGCCTGACCGAGCGCCTTCAGCTAGATGAGTCCACTAAAACATATGGTCAGCATCCAATGTCGAAAACTTACAGAGCTATTTATTTTGGGGATTTATTTACCGCTACAAGCATTAACAAAAGCCAGTTTTGTCATCAAGGAGAGAATTTAAAATGCGGCAAGTCTTAATATTTTCTAAATAAAGTTCACTCTGTTTCTTTTTGTTTGTTTTCAATAAATGCTTACAACAATAGTTCCTGATGTTCTTTATGAGGCTACAATGAACATTAATTTTGCGCGCTTATTGGATGTTGAATCCAGGAAGCGCGCTCGATTCTTGCTGCGCTGCTTCGGATTGGTTATTATTGTGTTCGTCCTTAAGTGTTTAATGGTTGCTATTTGTTTGCCATGTAATAAATTACAATGTCTAGATTTTATCGGCTTGATACGCTCAACTTTTTCCAGGATGAATTCATGCTGCCATGTCACGTACGAACTTCGTCATTGTCATGCAGCAAATCTTGCAAAAGGTTACTGGCTAGAATATAATTTATGGGCGAACCAATCAAGATTAAGATAACATGTCTTGGATGTTGGCGCGAAGTCCATTCATCCATTTGGTTAAAGAGTGTTTTGGTATTTTAGCTGATGTCAGTTCGTGATGAAGACCTTAAATCTAATTCCTCACCTTAACTATCAACTGTAAATCACAATCCTTATTCTTTGCACAGCTTTATAACTCACATTAAGCCCCAGCGGGTAGGTGGACTTTGTTAGGGCCACTTTAATATCAGTCAATTATCGTCTGTATATTATAGGCTCATACCCAAATTTCATCTGATTTTTATGTATCGAATCCTAGCATTCCTTCAATCATGACTTTCTACTCTGCTGCTTTGAACCATACAATGTTCATCCTCTCAGTGATGTCTCATCATCTTAGTCTTTTCAATTCTGTTGTGTTAATGTTTTGGTGCTTGAGTCATCGGATGTATGTACTACGCTGTACGTTGATTATGTCATCGTCTCTCGGTGTTTCGAAATGGCACGAACTAAACAAACTGCTCGCAAATCAACCGGAGGTAAGGCGCCTCGAAAGCAGCTCGCCACCAAGGCTGCGCGCAAAAGTGCCCCGGCCACCGGGGGCGTGAAGAAGCCACATGACTGATTAATATCCATTGGTCAATGGATTTATACGTCGAAAACTCAATGACTCGAATGTATATCGTAATTTGTTAAGCAATCATTGGCTTATGTTTATTAACAAGAAAATTTAAATGTTATGTCAGCTATTAAACTTGAGTCATTTGCTCAAAGGTTCCAGCGTTGGCAAAATAGAGTTAGTTGGGGTTTTAAATACTTTTCATGGGTTGCCATTAAGGGCTACAATTCATATTTGATGTCAATCAGTTAGCTGTACAATACTGCCAAGCCAATGGTAAACATGGATACTACCCTGATGCTACGGCGCACATATCAAAGGGTCGTAAATTAGTGTTAGGAATTAGGATTAGTAGTTAAAGTCAGGGTTTTTCCGCACAAACTAACATCGGCAATAATGCAAGGGTCCTAAACTCCATGTTCTTGTTCTACGTTTTAGCATAATAGATCACACATCTCGTTCTCCTGATTGTTTAAACGGGTTAAGATTTCGAGGCCTTTCGAGTGTGTTGCACAACTTCACCCAGTTGGTAGTTAATTGGTTAAGTATTAGGCGTTTTCGAAAATAACAGATGCCTACATTTTCTACGTTATTCGAGCTACAGTTGGTATTAGCCAATATGAAGGCTACGAACGGGCAAAAACTTATACCCCAGCTTTTTCTATCAGACATAATTCAATGCGGGGACTGCCTGAGTTTTAAGCCTCCGTCCTGCCTATCTTGAATGAGAATTCGGTTGTCATTGCAGGTTGCAAGAAAATTGGGAGAGGTCAAACCAAAACTTGGTATCTGTTCATGAAGCTACTGACAGTTAAACTCATGTGATCCTGGTTACCGTAACCGTTAGTTGGAGGTAGGTGACATAGCTCCAAATCGGTCCCAATGGTGCAGATAAATTCACTATTTGTCTCTCTTAAGATCCTGATTTTCTAAATCGTCTCACACTTTTCTTTTTAATTCACTAACTTATCCTTTTTGGATCATATCGTCTATACCTATCATTTTCTATAACTACTGATGCTGCTAGTACTCCTGTTAATTTGCTGTTCACCTCTATAATTTCATTTCGCTGTGCAAGTATGGTATTGGAACTCAAAACGATACGCATGTTTGTCAGGTTCTACCTTACGTATGGCTTACTGGAGCCATTTACTGTTTGTTTGTCATATTGGAAAGTTCAGACTACTTGGTTAGGGTTCGCGTGGTAATTGTAATTAGTCGTTGGAAATGTTGAGTAAAATGACTTCTTTTTTAATCAGATTCTTAAATACTTTTGTATTACTCATGTTCATAGGCATTATTGTTATTTCAACTCATCCACTATTCTTGTTATTATTGCCATACTAACCTAGAATTACAACTTGTGCTAATCCACTTCCTTACCGTGCTGTATGTTATGTGTAGCTACTTGGTTCAATTATTAAGTCTTGCCATAATTTTCTGGTGGGGTTCTATCAAATGGGATTTTCCTGGTTTGAACCTCACTGCATCTACTACCAATCAAGTTTAAGCAGCTGGGTGGAAGTATCATAGAGTGGTGACTCAGTGGTTAAGGCGTTCAACTTCCAACCATAAAGTTACAGGTGCAAACTCCGCTCCACCTACTTCTGTTTGGGTGACTAAGTGTTATCACTGGTCTTTGTGCCTAGAGTCCGATTAGAAACCAAGCGTACAAATTTGTACGTGGCAGACGAGTTCATATGGGATGTCGTTAGGCGTTACATGTATAAAGTGGCCTAAAGTGGAGTACACAAATCCATACTTGGTTACTGAATGACATCATTCTTAACTGGTTTAAGAAGTGTCAAATAACATGAATTCTTGTACACCATCAACTTACCTCTCTTTTTCTCATTTTCTTTTTACAGTATTTATTACTTTTAAATTTTATGCCAGTTACATGGAGTAGTTTGTCAAACAACATACTACTTATCCATTTTGTTTTTTTCCAGTTATAGGCTTAATTAAAAATGGAACCAAGAATAAAAAATGCTGTTGAACGATTGGATCATCTTTATCAACGACTTGTTAATTATAAACCATTACTCGATCAAAATGTTTTAAATGCTGAATTTGAAATAAGAGCAAATTTTAAAAATTTAATAGAATTATTAAGTAAACGACAATCAAATCTACTTATTCAATTGCATAATATTGCCAAAGAGAAATCTATCCTCATTGAAAGGTTATTTCCATTTCTTATTTATATCTAAATGCTTATTTTCGTTTTTCCTATTTAATAGTAATAAACAAACGGTTGAATCTTTAAGAAGTGTTTTACTACAATCATGTGTTACCAGAAATGAAATCGATACAAAAATTGGTGATTATGTTAGACGAGCTGAATCAATTAATTTAACATCAGATTTAACACCATTTATTGCTTTCCATATTGAGAATATACAATTAAATGAAATTATTTCAACATTTGGTCGACTTGCATCTAGATATCCTGGTCACTTTGCTGATCCAAATAAACCTTCAGTATGTTTACCGCAATTATTTGAAGAAGAAGAACAGATAAGAATTGGGAATTCAACTCTTTCTTCTACTGTATTCAGTCGTGTTCAACCATTATGTATATGCAATGATCCAACATTAAAAAAATGGTTATCATTAACAGAACATAAATGCAAACGAAGAACTTCATCCGATTCTTTAAGTAATATAGATACAATGAAAGAAGAAGAGGATGGGATGAGTTTCACTTCAAAAAATGATTATTTCTGGTTTAGTAAATTGTCTGTAAGTGTCATACACATAGTTCCCATGTGTAAGTGTTTTGTAACATTCTTGATTTTAGTGAGTCATAAACAACATAAAGACTTCTCATATATATGCATCACTTCAATATTCCATACCAGAACAGGACAGTGAGATGAAATTATCAACACAAGTCTTAGAGTGATGAAATCAGTAACATCATCATCAGTAATATAAAAGATTAGGGGTGATTTAAATGTCTTTTTTCTGGTTATGTTTTCTTATCGAGGTTGTTTTCTACGGGAAGGGGTTGTCAACCCTGTGCCTGACCCACCTCCTTTATCCGAGCTTGGAACCGGCAGTAACCCTAGAAAGGCTACAGGTGGACAATGTGATTCGAGAAGAATGAATTTATGAAATAAAAAGGTAGAAAGCAGTGTTGAAAACCAATATCTAAGGGAAGACAAAGAGTGAATTGAATCTACATCATTGTAACCGATTCTAAACAGTGACACCTAAATTCTTCAATTATTGGTTGCGATAATCGCATGGTTGGGGCGGCCAAACGAAAATGTGGCATCAGTGCTTGAAGACACTAATATCTGGTCTGAGCCATGTTGGTAGATGCAGACTACTTGGTTGGGGTCCGCACGACTATCGTAACCAATGGTTGGAGACTCTTGGTGACATGGCTCAGAATCGATCACAATGGCGTAGGTGTATACACTCTCTGTCTTCCCTTAAACTAAGATATTAAAATCGCTCCACATCTTTCTTTCTACGTACTAAATCCTTGTTCCTGTACTATATCCTTATACGCAATCTTCCTTATATATATTACCACAACTGAATTAACTACTCTTATGAATGCAGTGTTGATCTTGTTGTGCTAATGAGGTGTGGCAACTTGAACCGATGCATATTTGTGCCTGGTCCTACGTTGTAGCTGACTGACTGGACCCCAACTCGGTAGATTCCATGAAACATAAGTCAAGCTCTCAACTCGCTGCACAAATATGAACTTGTTACGTTTCATAAACGATACTTCATTTTAGAGTTGGTCATACAGATGTTCCATTAACTTCTTAAGTTTTTTTATTCATTTAAAATGAAACTAATTACTCGTTGAAACTTGTTTTTACAATTTTAACCCTGATTAACACTTTAAATAATTTCTTTGTAGGAAAAAGGATCAGTACAAGATAATTTCGAATCCAGTATTTCACAATCAGCAGCTGTACGTGTACCATGTTGTCAGCCACACTCTACACTTGTCCGTACATGGCTTGAATTACGAGATGATAGTCAACCACTGACAGTAGAATCTACATCTTATCATAAAGAAGAATTATACGGATTGAATAATAGCTTAAAGCCCTCTAATTTAAAACAAAGTTCGTTAATTGTTTATTATGGCGTACTGATTTGCTAAAATTCACTTATTAGGTTTTAAGACCTGTTTGCATTTAGTATTCGATATAGTGTTCTTCAATGTGTATTTCGCACTTGCTATTACTCACTGGTTATATATATCTGTTTGTAACCTGGGAGTTAATTTGTTCATTGATAAATTCACTTAGATTGATCACTGAACAAGGATTGACCAATGTTATTTTTTCCTAGTGCTTAGCGCTCGTTGGATAGTATCAATGAAATTGTAATATAGCTATTACTCTAATTATCTTACATCTATAATACATTTATCAACGAGCTATTCAACCTTGAGGATTCAGAATTCTGTTTTAACTCCGACTGTGTATGAATTGATATTATTGGAAGAATAATACCTCTCGTTGTAATATTTTAAAAGTGATAATCAATAAAAAGTCTCCTTAATAGAGAGGTACCTTATAGTGGTCAAGGGAATCGGTTTCTAACTAAGTTTTAAGCTAAAACCCTACTCCATCTACTATTTGGGCAATCGAATCTCATCACATATCCCATACATAATTGATGTATGCAGCTGAAAAATGACTACATAGACCTGTACTTAATAAATAAGCTACAGTAAGTAGAAAATGTTGAACTGGTAATTAAATTCGTCTCTTTATGTCATATCAAGATGCCGATTAACTATATTTCATTTTCTGTTTAATGTATTCTGTATACAAATACAGCGAATAAAATTCACTATTTTTCTGTCTAGATTCTTTTATATAACACAATGAATATGATTATCCTTTATGAAGAGTTTCTTATTCCACTGTTAACATAATCGGAAAAAGTGTAATCATTAACTTCACACTTTAGTTCATCAATTGAACAAACTGGGAGTAACTTGAGAAAAGTTGGTAATTCATGATATACTATCTTCGATTTACTGCTTAGAACATTAATATTCAGAATTTCCAGACCTGATTATTATCATTATTCTTATTATTATCTCTGATACAAAGTATTAAAAACCAGTGAACCTTGGTTTTAAAGTCAATTTCAATTGACGTTAGATGATTGTTTGTTAGTTTCATTATCAATAAAATCTATCTGTAACTTGTAAATTCTTCCTTGTATAATATTACTTTCACTACATTACACTTAAGTCTACTTGATGTAAGTTAGGATATGAATGGATTGAATACAAGAGAGTTGAAACAAAAGTCTATACAAAATTTACATTAGGGATAATAGAGATATCTTTTTAATTTGTTTACCAGAAGTGATTGATCAAACATGGATTCATCAATGTGTTTAGATTTCTTATTTTACATTAAATAATGCGGTTGTTAGAAGTTTATTCTCATAACATTAGTAACTACGACTCAATTAACATTAAAGTGCGTGTTACAATATCGAATATATGGACATTATCCTGCACTACATATATATGATAATATACACTATGTTCGTCACAGATTGGTCTCAATTGAAACAACATTGGAAATCAGGGAGCCACTGGATGACTGTTTCGTCCTGGTATAGGACACCTCAACTATGCGCTCCTACAGTCCTGCCTGAAATTGAACCCAAAACCTTCTGGTTTAGCTGTAAATATTAATCATTGGAACAACTGGGTCGGTGTCCGGTGGTACAGTTTCAACTTTATTCAATTTGCAATACCATTAATGATGATTGTTTCACTCTCGATATGCCTGAATTCTACCAGTCACAAATTCTCATTAGATGTTGAAAAGTACCTTGAAATCATTAGTGAGGTAAGGGGTTTCATACTAAAACAAAGAAACTGTCTAATGACCTCTGGTTTTCGATGGTTCTTCTCTAGCTGAGGTCACTTTGTGATGAGTACAGCACACACACTGAACTAATCTCCGCAAAACCTTTTCAACTAGAAAATAATATTAATTAGTATCCAATCGATAATTAGTTTTAATTATTCTAACGAGAAATTTTTTGAGTTTTCTTTAACAACCCTATTACTTTAAACCGACTAGTCACTTTCACTACATTTAAATATTTACATACCATCTATCTGTCTTATTTAGATAAATCTACTTCGGAAAGCTTGACATTTTGACAAATTCATCTCAAAATATGTCCAGTTTAAAAGATTGGTTATTCTGTGATCCGGTAAGTTTGTGTGCCAGTCCCCTTTTCAACTATTCAGATCTTTTTTTTTTTTCCGTCATGGATTATTATTATGTAATATCTTGTAGTGTATGTAAGCTTGTACACGGTTGGAAAAAAAATATATATGTCTTAGTTAATCGAATCAGTACATGTTCGAAAGTTTGTCGATCACCTTGTCTTTTATACACATAGGAATTATTGTTTAGTCTTAGCATTCATCAGTTTGTAGTTCAGGTATACACAAGTGCATTATCTGTAATCCATTTATAATTTCCACATTTAAACCAGCATTCCCCAACTCACTCTGTCCTGGGCTTTTCTTTCTAGTTCTATCCCATTATTGTTCATTCTTCTCATATCCATCTCGTCCCATGATGTCTTCATATCCGGTGTTCTTCATTTCAACCTTGGTATTTAGGTCTTCCATCAGAATGGTCAAGTCCTTTGTTGGGTATTTCTCAACGATTGACTGCAACTTATCATAGAATTGATCTTTAACATCTTCATTGTAGTCGTTGGTAGGCGCATAGCATTAGATTGACATTCATTTAAGTCAACACTTTATATTAATCATTTCAATATTAACGATTTTATTTAATTTATACATTACAAACAATCCTAAATTCACATTTTAAACTATGTATTTTATCTTAAACCTGACCAATTTTTCGATTATGCATTTGGTTACATAATTGTAGCGTACTTGAAAAGAATGTTCTTTCATATATATCTGTATTTTAATGTAATGAGAATTTTTCTTGATTGTTAGATTAATGAATGAAATTTGACCGAGTGATATCTGCTCACGTAACAACCAGATCACATTAACTTAGATTATTGAGATCAAACTGATATCAAAGATAAAACGATTGCTCAGAAAGAGGGATTTTTCCTTCTTACAAAATAACATGCTTGTATATATATGAAATGAAGAAGAAGAAGAAGAAGAAGAGAAGAAGAAAGTCACATAGATACAAGGAGTCACCAAATACATATGCACCACTCAAAGCTCATTTGATTTGTGTAAGGGCTGTGATACTGGCCGGGTGCCCGAACTGAAGCAGGTGGTTTTCTTAGGGGCCACACCCGGAGCCTTCGACCTGAAGGTCTGATCCACAAGGCAGTGGAGCATCGTAAGCAGATGCATTCTCATGGTAGCCGGTGACCAACGATTGGTTCATACGCCATTTGTTCCTTCAGAATACTGGAGCCAGCCCATGTGCACCACTGGTTTGGAATCAAGGTTTTCCAACTCCCTAGGTGGATCCTTTGTTTCCATCAATTTGGTTTAAGTGCCGTACAGTCGCTTTTCGTCCTCTCAATTTCGTAAACAACAGTAATGTCGCGAGAAGGCAGTGAGTAGGAATTCCTGGCAGAGGCTATATACGCGTGGTCATGTGAGAGCATTTCAAGAGGGAGAGCAGACTCTACCCACTCTTGGCCGTACCAGAGCATTTAGGGGCATATATATGAAATATTGAATACATAACCAAATGATTGAAAGGTCTGACAATTGCAGATTATTCACTCACTAATAGAATAAATACCCCTAACTATTATGGTCAATTCTTATTCTGTCATTTCAATAATTGTCTAATCCTAAGACGATGTGATTGTGTAGATAAATTAGTTGTCTAGAGATTCTCAAAATGTACAAGTAGATAATAACTCAGAATTATTTCTTTTATTATAAAACTTAGGCTGAATTAAGAGATATGCCTGGTTTATCGACAAAACTTAGTCGTAATGATGGCAGTATTGGTTATAGTGTTGGTAGTAATAATACCAGTGAATACAGTACACGTTCAGTGAAATCTTCTTGGTTAATACCAGAGAATACAACTTTATCAATGAATAAAGATATGTCTACACTCTGCATAGATTCATCGAAAATCGATAATTTAACAAAGAATTCATTATTTCCTGAACATATTTTTCATTCTGGACCGATTGATTTATCACGTTGGTTAAGACAATCACCACCACCACCACAATCGATGGATAATAACAGTAGCAATTTATCAATGGAACAAAATCAATCTATTAATGAAGAGATGAATAGTACTACTTCACAAGTTAGTTGTTAAATTATCTCTTAGTTGTTGTTGTGCATTAAGTCAGTTTGAAGAACTTTTATGGGTTATACTCGATTCAGATTGAACTCAATTGGAGTGCCATTAAAAATTGCAAAACACTAGAAGTCTTAATTTATGGAGTTCAGAAATATCGGGAGTGAATCAGTTGTTCCCAATAGTATTAGATGATGGTCGCACTGTATTACCCAATTGTTCCAATAGTTAAACGTTTGCTGCAAGGTCCAGAAGTCCTGGGTTTGATACCTGCGTGGGTCGTGGGTATGTACTATCGTGGAGTCCCTTGCTAAGACGAAACAGCTGTTCAGTGCTCCCTAGTTTTCAATGGTATCCCAACTGAAATCAATCTGTGATGAATATGACCTACAGGTATACTATTTTTTCATAATTAATAAGCGTTATTCTTCTACCTAATTGAATGAAATATACGTATAATTCTTAAGATATTTCTCAATAATAAGTTCATTTGATACAATCCTACTAATTTTGAGTACGAGTCTAATGTAGATTAGTTTTGATTATTTAGTAAGTAACTAACTAATGTGTTTTTCACTGGTCTTCAATGTTGATCAAATGCAATAGAACTAGTTGTAAACAACCTAGAATTTGACTCATTTATACATGAGTACAAATTAATATTCCACAGTAATACGACATAATGAGGTTAACAAGATAAATGGGAATAGTATCGAAATAGCAGTTGTGCTAATGATAGTGTGAAGTAGTAAACCTTGAAAAATGTAGTTAAAAATGAATAGATGAATTTAAGGAATAAAATACACAAAATATCGAAACTAAATGCTTAAGCGAAAATAAATAATGAATGCATCCATGCTACTGTAACCGGTTCTGAGTAATATCACAACTTCTCTTACCACTGATCACGTTTATCGCGCGGACCCCAACCAAGTAGTGTACAACAACTATTAATGACTTGATTTAAATGACATTGCTAACTATTCGTTAATCAATCAATTATAACAACCATCAAGGCTCAGACCAATAGTAAGTGACTTCATATGTCGATCCTATATGTTGGTTCAACCTAATTTTATGACTGCTAACATTACGGGTTCAAGGTAGCTGGCGGTCGGTTATGCCTAATACCTGTCCATCAACCACCTCAGTTTATCAACAACCACAGTCTCATAGACCGAGTCCTCTCTCTCTCTCTCTCTCTCTATATATATATATATATATATATATATATATATATATATATATATATATATATACGTACCTAATGAGTATATAAACCTACATTGAATATCCATCATAGTACTGACAAATTGTTTATTATTATTCTGTATTCCACTAATGCATGATATATCTTGCAGACAAATGAAATCAATACAATGAATCCAAATAAAAATATTGAAAATAATGATATTCTAGTAGAATACTGTCCAAAATTTGGAATATGTCAAGGCGGTCCTGGTGGACCGACATGTTGTGGTGGATGTTCTTTATCGATGATAAAAAGGAACTCGATTGATGCATCAATACAATCAATCACTAATGAAAATTCAATAATTGGTATTTCATCAAATACGCTAAATAATGAGATGAATTCATGTGATAATAATAATAATAATAATAATAATAATAATAATTCAATTGTAACTGAATTAAATCGCATTGCAAATAGTGACTTAAAACAATGGATTGTTAATGATAAGCCAGAACAGTATAATAACAGTGTTGATTGTTATTCTGATCGAAGGCAACAATCGGATTTTTTTCATCCGGTAACTCAAAAGTAAGTATTGTATATTCTCCCTTTTCTTTTTACTGTTGTCTTCTTTATTTACGCTTAATATATTGTCAGTATAGCATTGTGGAAATTGTTGAATTTTACTGAAATCACAAATCAGTCTAAGTTAGACAATCATTGAAAATTTTGTAGCACTTTACGGTTATTTTCGTCCTAGTATGGGACTCCTTTGCGGTGCTCATCCATGGCCCGCGTCTGGAAATCAAACCCAGGACCTTTGGTCACGGACGTAAATCGCTTAACCTTTAGACCATTGATCTGGGATCCGGTGGTGTACATTTCCTAACATCAGTCAGTTCAAGATATTGCGTGACAGTTTTCCGTTGTCTTCGATAGGTACTTTGCTCACACTCAACATGGTTGAACTCTACTTTTTACGGCTTCTCACTAGAAGCTCAAAGGGCAAAGGGTAAATCGAACATATTTCACACCATTAAAAACGTTATTCTCATTTCAATGCGCACCTTTAATTATATGCGCCTTTTCGATAGTCGCCCTTTTTCACTAGCCGTTATTATTGTGAACTGGTTCTGACTTTTAAACCACATAACTGAATTTCAGTGATTCAGTTCCAACTTAAATCAATCCGTTATATAACCCGACATTCGCTGTCATCGGTGAGAGCTGAAAGTCTTGATATAGACCGCTGGCCGTGTTGTCAGTGCAGATTGTTGGGAAGTCCCACAATAGAAGAAAAGTATCCAATGTCCCCTTGTTTCCAAAAGTATTTCAGCTGATGTCAATTCTTGACTGAAACCACTTGTAAATTAATCTAATGCATCTAGTCCTCTTTGAGATATGAGAACTCGTCATTTTTCAGCTGACTACGTTATGGAAAAATATTTCTTTTTGAGGTACTTGATAACGAAACAGGTTTAGGCGTGGTTTTGGCAACCTGGAAGCGTTCAAAATATAACTTGCATTTTGTCACACACCACCCTTTTGTATCCAATTTTAGTCTGTTAACTCCGTACTTCAAAAAGGCCTTACCATGGTCATGTAAAGGTAGTATCTAAAGGGATGCTGCTTGTCCGAGGTAAATAACTTTATGAGGCAAATCCCCTGTACATTTGGCAGTATGACACCACCTTCACGTCTTAAGTTTGCTACCATTAGTCTAAAATCCTTTTAACCGAACTAAGATGTCTATAACCCCAAATGCATTGGCATGGCCGAGAGTGGGTAGGCCCCTCCCTCTCGAAATGATCTCAAACGGCCACGCGTATACAGCCTCTGCCAGAGAAGTCCTATTCACTGCCTTCTCGTGGTGAAGGTGTTATTTACGAAATTCAGAGGACGAAAAGAGAACGTCCGGGTAACCGTGAGTTTGACCACAAACGAAAGATGTTACGTAGTGAAATCGGGCAAAGCTTGCGTAAGGACCGAGAAGCCTGGTGGTCGAAGCGTGCTCCGGGCATCAGGATTAGACCGACGGGCTTGAGTTGTAAGGAGCCTGGAGAAGCCCAGTGCTTACAAGTGGGACGTTTCACGGAGCTGCAAGCGCCTTTACTCGCCATTTTGATGGAGTCATGAAGTTGCAACCAATGCTCATCTATACTTTTCGGTGGAATGGTATCTAGCCTAGAAGCTAGCTCGGTTCGATACTTACTAGCAACAGAAGTTGCAACCAACTTGCTGACATCAATCCGTTGGTGGTGGTCACTTCAGTCAGTTCGTAACAACGTAGAACTTCGTACGTACGTACATCAGTTCGAGTTGCCACACCACATTAGCACAGAGATGCAGTTGTCGATTCAAATCCCGTAGTGGTAGAGGTAATAAGAGTATAAGCAGTAATCGGGAAGATTAGGGTTTGGAGATGTTATTTAAAGAGTATAATCCAGTGAAATAAATTTGGAAAGAGGAAAAAAGGGACATGAAGGATTCAGAAGATTAGAATTTGGGAGAACACAGAGAGTGGATGCACCTGCGCCATTGCAAACGATTTTGAGCCATGTCATTCAGGGTCTCTAACCATCGGTTGCTATCATCTCGCGGTCCCCAACCAGGTAGTCTACACCTACCAACATGACTCAGTCACTTGTCAGTGACTTCATGGACTTGTGCCATGTTTTGGTTTGGCCGCCCCTAGCTTTCTTCCAACCTACTCCTATACCACTGAACATAGCACGTCGAGGCAGTCGGTCGTTGGGCATACGTAACACGTGTCCCAGCCATCTCAACTGATGAAGTTTCACTACTTCATCAATTGATTTGCCATCCTTACCTAGTACCCGTTTCCTAACAACTGTGTTACTTACTCGATGGTCCCATGATATACGAGCAATGTTTCGAAGACACCTATGATCAAATACTAGTAACCTACGAATATCCTCTACTCTTACCGGCCATGTTTCACTGCCATAAAGTAGGACGGAACGAACTGCTGCGCAGTAAACACGTCCTTTGGTTGATAGACGGATATCTCGCCTACGCCATAAATGACGCAAGTTGGCAAAAGCTAGTCGAGCCTTCTGTATCCGTGCTGAGATTTCGTCACACACTAAACCACAAGGGCTGATGAGACTTCCAAGATAAGTGAAGCGGTCGACACACTCAACTACTTCACTCCCTATCACTAGTTCGGGTGTCGATGTAACCCAATCCTGAAGCAACATTTTGCATTTCGAGGGAGAGAATCGCATCCCGAACATGCTTGCATTGTTGCTTAGAGTGGTCAGAAGACTCTGCATTTTGTCAGCGTCTTCACCAAATAAAACTATGTCATCAGCATATTCTAAGTCAACAAGTGAACCTCCCGGTAGAAGTTCAACCCCTGGAAATTTAGATGAGGAGAGTGTTATCTCTAAAAGTACGTCGACCACAAAGTTGAACAAGAATGGGGAGAGTGGACAGCCCTGACGAACACCACTTGAGGTAATCAATTCTGATGACAGTTCGCCATAAGCTCTCACTCTACCAGTTGTGTTCGAGTAGAGAGCCTTTATAAGGTTAATGTACTTCTTTGGTACTCCTTTCAGTGACAAACACTGCCATAGAACCTCACGATCAACAGAGTCGAATGCCGCCTTAAGGTCGAGAAATACTACCATTGTGGGGCGTCTGAATGTGTGTCTGTGTTCTAGAACCTGACGTAGTGTGAATATCTGATCTATACAACCACGTCCAGGTCGAAAACCAGCCTGGTTTTCTCTAGTCTGCTCTTCACGAGCTTTGATTAGGCGTCGAAGTATTATTGAAGCTAATATTTTAGACACTATATTAGTCAAACTGATTCCTCTGTGATTGTCACAAGAGGACTTTTGTCCTTTCTTATAGACTGGCACAATCAGTGATTGAGACCAGTCAGATGGGATTACGTCCAGTTCCCAAATTCTACCTAAGACCTCAGTTAATCTCATTGCTAATACTGGACCACCATCCTTAAAAATCTCAGGAGTAAACCTGTCAGGGCCTGCTGCTCTCCCTCGTTTCAGATTTCCTATGGCTTTTTCAACTTCGTAAAGGGACGGAGGACCTACATTAACTTGCCATTCAGGTTGACTAGAGATCGTGGGAAACCGAAGTGTGGCTGAAGGCCAGTTGAACTGATCCCTAAAGTGTTCTGCCCATCGATCCAATCTCCTGGATTGAGAATGAATAATATGTCCATCTTTCTCTGAGATTGTTTCGCTAACGGTCGGGTTCCTAATTCCGGTTTCCTTAACGAGTCTGAACAATTGTCTGCTATTACCTATTGCCGCTGCCTTTTCCATCTCTCTTGCTTTCGCTACCCACCACTGTTCGCGATCATTGCGTAGACTTCTTGTCAGCTTGCGCTTAAGCTGACTCCGCTCTTCATTATGTTCAGAGCCAGGTGGAATGAGTTTCCGAGCATCTATCAGTGCGATAGATGCTGCTGAGATCCAGTGTTGCTCCCTAACCTTCTGGTTTACCTTACTAGCAGATATCACTGCTGTTTCCACAGCTTTTCGGATATCATTCCATGCTGCATCGGGGTGGGCATCACATACATGGCTGCCTAACTGTTTTCCTAGTTGTTCCTGAAATATACTCTTAGCTTGACTATCATTAAGTAGGCCCTAAGAGGTTTCCTTGCAGCGTCTTTCCTACGTCCAGTAAGACGCAAGCAAATACGCGCTCGCACTAGAGCATGATCTGAATCTAGGCATGTGCTCCAGAATGAGCGACAGTCTTCTATCGAGCCCCTCCATCGGTGGCTGATAGCGATGTGATCTATTTGGGTCCAACGTTGGGACGAATTAGGGGGTCGCCATGTTAAAAGATGTTTTTCCTTATGCTTAAAGTTAGTATTTGCAAGGAACAGGCGGTTATCTGAGCATAGCTGCAACAGACGGTCGCCATTATCTGTTCTTTGAGCCACGACACCATAAGATCCACCTAGGTGTCTTTCCCTATCGCTTAGTTTACCTACTTGAGCATTAAAGTCACCGGCCACTATTACTACATCCGAGCGCTTAGCTTTTCGGAGAAGGTCCGAAAGCTTTCTGTAAAACTCATCTTTTACATCATCTGAGCTGCAGTCAGTGGGAGAATAGGCAGAGACGACGAAGAGGCAACGACGAGTGTCCCTATCTTTCCGGATTCTTACTGTTCCGTTCAGTCGGACAGCGCACAAACGACTGTCTACTGGGATCCACTCTAAGAGAGCTAGTTCTGCCCTAGGACTCAATGCTATACCTACGCCGGCGAGGCCACGGGAAGCAGAATCAGGGCTTCCAGATACACGAAGCGTAAATCGAGTCGGTTCTTTATTTTGGCATGGTGAGGTCAAATGAATGACGCTACTTGGATCCTGTATGCGCGTTTCGGAGACGCAGCACACATCGATGGCGCGAGATTCTAAAGTTTTAGCTAAGGAAGCCTGCTGTCCTATTTGGCAAAGTGTTCGTACGTTAAAAGCTCCTACGTGTAGTTTAGAGCGTGGTTTCAGGAGACCAGGAATGGCGTTCCACGTACTCGAATCGTTTGCCCTAGCGGTGCGAGGTGATAAAGAGACGTGAGGAGGGTTAGTCATGGAGATAAGAGAGGTATTAGGAGGTGTAGGAAGGATTTGAATGTGACCACCTTGGTCTCTTGTGCTGTTACGGGTATGAGGGCTGATGTCACTTCCCGGCTGCCCACACCGTGGAAGGGTATTTCTTGAGGAACCTGAAAAGGAAATTGGATTAGTGTTGGTCTTGACGACCTGGGAGCGTGACCGCAGAGCCCAAGGGACAACTGCTTGAGGCCGGTCGCGCACGGCCTTTTTGTGGAAGGTTTTTGACGTGTTAGCTCCGTTCTTCAAAGGGCCTTACCGCCGGAGACGGAAATCCGTGAGGTAAGGTGAGGTGTGACATTTTTAGGGTCGACCTTTTCTAACCCCACCCCTCCTTGTGGGAAGGCAGCATCGCTGTCATGCTGGTTGTCCGAGGGAAACACCTTACTGCTGTCACACCTCTCTACAGTCAGCAGTACGACTTCGCCCTCAGACCTTGAGTTGCTGCTTTTAGTCTTACCGTTCACCAATCGACCTGCCTGGCATGGTAGAACCTACAGGAACATATGTTCCAGCCAATATAGCTCGGTTGGGTCATCACGATAGGCAAGCCCGACCACCGCGTCAAGGTAGCAGCTTCGATCGGGAGGTAGCAGCTTCGATCGAGGTCACTTGGTTGTCCACTGAAAAGTAAGGTAAGATTGGCACAGACCAAAGCATGGTCAGAGTCCAGATGGGTACTCCAAAAGGAACGACAGTCTTGTAAACAACCACGCCAGCGGTAGCTGATCACAATGTGATCAATCTGAGTCCAGGCTTGAGATGCAGAGGGAGGACGCCAGGTGACACATTGGCGATGACTGTGCCGAAAGTTAGTGCTTGCCAGAAACAGGTTGTGGTCTGCGCACAGTTGCAGTAGACGGTCCCCGTTATCTGACCTGCGACCAACGAGTCCCCATCGGCCACCTAAACGACTCTCTTCTGTGCCTAGACGCCCGACCTGAGCATTCAAGTCTCCGGCTAGTACTACAATATCTGTCGAACGCACTTTCTGGAGAAGAACAGATAACTGGTGGTAGAATTCATCCTTGATTGCATCTGGGCTGCAATCTGTCGGGGCATAGGCGGAGATGACGAAAAGACATCGTTTCTCACGCCGATTTCTTCTCACTTTGATGGAGCTCTCTAATCTAACAGCACATAACCGACTGTCAATGGAGATCCAATCGATTAGTGCTGCCTCAGCTCTAGCGCTTAGTGCGACATCAACGCCAGCAAGACCAGACGAAGATGCCACAGGGTCCCCGGATAAGCGCACGTAAAACAAGCTTTTTGAAGCGACAGATGAAGAGCGAATTTTTAGTACTTCACCAGAGTCTTGAATACGGGTCTCGGTTAGACAGAAGACATCGATATGAAGACTTTCCAAAGACATAGCCAGCCCTATCTGTTGTCCGACCTGCATAAGTGTGCGAACGTTGAAGGTAGCCAGTTTGAATGGTGCACGTGGTTTCAGAAAAGCTATTTCAGTATTCGTATTCGGTGATAACATTCAATTTTCAACCAGTCAGTGATTCGAGATCGTTTAGATAGGATCGAGTTCCTACCATAGGCTACACAAAGTGGGAATAAAAGAGAGTGAATAAGTGACGTAGTTAAAAATAATAATAATGTGAATTGTTTGACTTTAATCTAAGCGAAAATAGTATTTTCAGTAAGTATCGTCATTTCATTTTATTTGTGTGTGGACTGTGATACTGTCCGGGTGCCCAGACCGAAGCAGGTGGTTTTCTTAGGTGGCCACACCCCGAGCCTTTGGACCTAAAGGTCTGACCCACAAGTTAGTGTAGCAACGTAAGGAGATGCAGTTGCATGGTAGCCAGTGACCAACAATTGGTTCATACACCGTTTGTTCCTTCAGGATAGTGGAGCCAGCCCATTTGCACCATTGGTTTGAAATGAGGGTTTTCCAACTCCCCTATATTGACTCACCGTGTCCACCGGCCCGGTTAAAGCTCCGGACATTCTCTTTTCGTGATGGTGAGTAGGACTTCTCTGGCGGAGGCTGTATACGCGTGTCCGTGTGAGATCATTTCGATTGAGGGAGTGAACTCCTTTCACCCTCGTCTGTACAATATTATTCAGGGGCTTCTGCTTACCTTAACGTACGTTATATTTTTGGGAAATGTTAGTTGATATGTCTCACAATTTTTCAAATGCATATACGTTTTATGTTCCTCTGAATCTCGAACTCTAATCTCCTTTCATACATAGTTTGTCATTCTTTCTTGAATGATATTCTTCAATGTCTAGTCTTTTTAATTATCATTGTTTATTGTTCATCTTTTTAATTTAATCTCTTCTGAATGTAATATGATAAGTTGCGTTGATACAGATATGTACACTATTTTGTATAGTTGATAGTGGTTGTCTGATATGTCTATGTTATTGATTCATATGCTCGTAACTAGTGCTTATGTCTATGTTGATGTTCTCATGTTTTATCCGACACACGGATACACATATTCTATTTCTGTTTATTGGACTCCTGTTTGTTTTTTTTTCTCTGCATATTGTTGTAGTTATTTAACATCATCAGTGCCTCAAACAAACTTTTCTGTAATTGATATGGAAATTGATGGAAAAAGGACGTGGAATAGGAGAACTAGATGAACCAGATGCATTATCTAATCCTCATATTCTTCTATCACCTTCAATTGATATAAATGAATGTAAATCTAAAGAATTCAATGAGAAAACATTTTTACCATGTAAAAAGTCTACATTATTCACACAAAAACCAGTATCCACATATTCTCATTGGTTAATTTAATCCAATAGAACCATATATTCTCTCCATGTTCATATGAATTTTAACAGGAATTGTTTCTTTGCCAACTCTCTCTCTCTCTCTCTGTGTGTGTGTGTGTGTGTCTCCTTTTGTTCCATTGTGTATGGACAATAAATAGAGTCCTATTATATTTTTTTTATGGGTTGATTCTTTTCTCACTCACACACACTCACCTATTTACCCATGCTCATTTGTCCCCCTAAATATCTCTTTTTTTATTGTTTTGCATTGACGGTCTATTCATCATGATTATTCTCTTATGCTTGATTTTCTTTGGTTCTTTACTTTGTTTTTTTTTCTTTGAATTTTAACTTTGGAGAATGGAAAAAGTGAATAAAAAAGTACAATTATTGATTCTAATGATTTACAATTGTAATTAGGATACAGTTTCAAAATACATATGATAATTGGTTTACATAATATGTGTGTTTTGTCTTTCTATTGCAATATAGAATGATAATAATGATGATGTAATATTTACAGGGTATGTTTGTTGATTGAAATTCTGTCTGTCTCTCTCTTTTTAATGAAGGCCATGCGTTCGAATCCCGTGAGCGGGATCGTGGATGTGCACTGCTGAGGAGTCCCACAGTAAAGCGAAACTGCCGTCTAGTGCTCTACAACCCCTAAACTGATAATTACCATGTGCTCACTAGTGACTAGCTTCGTGAGAAAATTCTCGAAGTTCTGGTGAAAAGCCGTGACCAGTGGAGCTAATTCGTGCCGGGTAGAAACAAGTGTCTACTTCACTACAATGGGAGATGGTCGCGCGACTTCGTGGATTGGTTAAGGTTAGACATTGACACCACTGGATGGCGGCTCAGTGGTCCAGTAGGTTAAGCGTTCGCGCGCGAGACTGAAGGCCCTGTGTTCTAATCTCGCGAGCGAGATCGTGGATGCGCACTGCTTAGCAGTCCCACAATAGGACGAAACGGTCGTTCAGGTTTTCAGTGGTGGTCTAACATCAATTGGTTCGTGATCTCAATAAAAAAACTTAACAATCTCCACAACCCCTAAACTGGGAAAAATGTAGTAATTTCAATCAGATAGGGGTGAAATTTGTGGATATTATAATAATTTCGATAGTTGAATTCGTGATTCAGTTGAAGCTATGTAGTGAATAAAAACACGAATGGGGACAATCGTATGTATTTGACATGGAATTACAGAGTATCTCGATAAAATCTATGAACCATATAGTAAATCGTTAATTTGCAAAATATTAATCCATTTTCTCAGATTTCATTGTTCATGCGTTTTCATACCAATTACGTTCCTTTTCCGTTCTTTCCTCATCGGCCTTCTACTGAAATACATTCTATGCCTGACCACAGTTATATACTACTTATGTAGATATAAGTAACCCATACCATAGCTTGACCACTATGGAAAACCTGGAAGTATTGGATGGCCCTTTTATCCTCGTTCGAATCTTGCGAGACGGGATTAAAGATGCGCACTGCTGAGGAGTCTTATACTATGCTATGAATTAGCGATGGGTTCATATCTACATTCTATCCTTGCCTAATTTTTTTCTCGCGAAACTAGAAGATGGACCTCTCAAAGAGATTATTGTTAAGCTTAACTTTTAATGTCGTTACATTGATGATACTTTTGGTATAATCGATCAGAAAATTAGAAAAGAAGAACTAAAGCTATTCATCAATAAAAATTCAGCTATCAAATTTACATGTGAAAAGTGATAAGGACTTTTATTCAACAGAAAAGAGGTTCTGTCAGTAGAATTGTGTATAGGAAAAATTCCTCAGCAAGTCTGTACACACTTCTTGAGCTTTATACCCATTCATTAGAAGAGAAACCTAGTTAGATGTCTTGCTAATAGAGCTAGGTAGATATATTTAAACGACATAAATAAAAAAATTAGAGTTTATTTATAATATGTTGATTGAAATGGGTTATCTACAGGTTTTTTTTGAAGAAACATTTGGATGTAATAAATAGGAAAGTAGCAACATCAACGGTTAGTAAGAAACTTCTCTTCCTGAATCTGTAATTCAACGGAGATATAACTAGTGATGTGCTATGAGATAGGTTGACCTCTGTCTATCTATGATGATTCCTCGACTAAAGAATAAGTTACCTGGTTTTGCCACATCTATGTGTATCTATGACTTTAGTTGCTCTTATGGAGAAAGTTATATTGAACGCGAAAACAGACAATTGAGCCAATAAGTTAGTGAACACTTCTTTTCGTGGTTAGGAAAGGGTATTGTCAAAACGATATGCAACTCGGTTCTATCACACTTGGTCCTTAGCGGTCATTTAGTAGATAGAACTATGTCATTTAAAATGATTTGTCATATTTCTACCAGTTTCCTTTATGGTGTTCGATCTTGTCTCTTACACATAGTAGAAGCTATCAGGATTCAAGTGTTTGTATTCATAAGAAACTCGTAACACGTTTATCTTTATTTCTAGGTAATGAGTAAATCTATCTGTACCATCGTGATTAGTCACGAACTAACTAAATGTTTATTAAAGAGAACTATTGAAAATCAACTCAATCGTTGCTCAATTCAAAGTATTCTGTAGTTTAATTCCTGTGAACACTTTTCAGGATGCTAAAACGTCTTTTTTTTTACAATTAAATAACTGACTCGAATCTCTGTCTACAGTTCAAACTAAATTCTATGTTATTTCTAATGTCACTAACATTTATATTTCTATCAGAATGAGTGTTTGTGAAGATTGTATTAGTCTAATAGTTGAATTCATGAGTTGAAAGGTTAAGCGTTCACGCACGAGATTGAAAGTTTTGGGTTCGGATTCCGTATGAAGGATCATGGGTGTGTACTATTAAGGAATGTCATACTATGATGAAACGGTATTCTAGTGCTTTCAAGTTTTCACTGTTGGTCTAGATTAAATCGACTTATGAATTTAACTAATTATATTTTTGTCTAAAATAAAATTTTTTCAAATATCAGTCAAATAAGAAATGAAATTATGCAAAATTAAATTAATGGACAGTTGGCATTTAATTAAGATCATGAATCGATGATTGTTAGACTACTATTATTGATAATTTGGAAACACTATTAACAGTTAGTAATCTAATATGTATACTTGATATACTAACTGAGAATTACATTCATCTTGGCCAATTATTAATGGTGTTGGTTTTTTATATACCTTTCTCTCTTCACCTCTCTCCTCCCTGTGACTGGTTAATGGTATATATGTGTTTGTATGGTTACTGGCATTGTACTTTTTATCACGTACAATGGTTTTATTCAAGATGATAATAATTATGCATTTTGTATTGTTTTTTTTAAAAATAAAAAAAAATAGTACCTTGCTCTGTATGTACATATATGTGAATGTTTGTGTGCGTGTGTTCAAGAATGGAAGGTTGGTTGAAGTGCGATCGACCTAAATATCAATAGGTTACTTATTTTTATTGTAAGTGAAATACTTTGATTTGTTGTAGTAAATAATGATATAATTCATTATGGATTGATTACAATTATTTGTATTTTATTCGAATATATAAGTGTTGGTACAAGAGGGTACCAGATATATATGCGCCACACAAAACAATGAGAATGGGAAGAGAAAAAGAAGGTGCGTATAGGAAAAAAAAGAACAACAACGACCACAGATTAGTGTGTGTTGATGCAACGATAATAATAATGGGGGGGAACGGATACGTACAACGAGAAGAATTTTTTCAGTTAAGGAAGTTACAACCACTTTTGTGAAGAAAGTAAAAGAAGGTTACAGCAGGATCGCCACTGGCTTCTATTCTGAGCCATATCTGATAACGTCTCTAGTTACTGTGTTGCACCATCTCTCGGACCCCAACCAGGGAGTCGTGAAGGACCAACCCAAGCCAGTCCTTTGCAGATTTCCTTCATGCCACGACACCATGTCATGCACTGACCACCTCTCCGCTTCTTCCAACCAGTCTCAGAGTCGGCAAATAATGCACGACGTGGAATTCTGTGGGACGACATTCGTAGAACATGTCCAAACCACCGAAGCCGATGTTTCAAGATGGTGACACCAATTGGATTATCGTCTCTTCGCCCGAACACACGATGCCGAACCTGTGCATTACTAACACGGTGTTGCCACTGGATATCAGCAATCCTTCGGAGACAGCGATGATCGAACACAGAGAGTCGTCTAACGTCCTCAACTCGGAGAGACCAGGTTTCACAAGCATAGAGCAGAACTGCTCTCACCGACGCGTTGTAGATCCGACCTTTTACAGCCAGACTAACATCACGAAGGCGCCAAAGGTGGCCCAGATTGGCATAAGCCGCTCTGGCTTTCACTATTCGTGCATTGATCTCATCACTCACACCCCCACCAGCACTTATGCAGCTACCCAGATACACGAACTTCTCGACTACTTCTATCTGCTCACCATCCAGGGTGAGTACAGGATTAGAATCCTGTCAGTCTTGTAGGAGTACTTTGCACTTCGAAGGTGCAAAGCACATACCGTACCTACGGACACTGATTGCCAACTGATTAAGTGCGGATTGCATGCCTTGGGCATTATCGCACAGTAAGACAATATCATCCGCATACTCAAGGTCGAGAAGTCTTTCTCCAGGCAACAGATCCACACCACCATTACTTACATCCATCAGAGCTGTTTCCAGAATGTCATCGATGGCAAAGTTGAAGAGGAATGGTGAGATTGGGCAACCCTGTCTAACCGCACTGCTTGAATGGAACAATGGAGAGAGGTGGTTGTATGCCCTCACTCTGTCTGAGGTGTTTGTATATAGGGCTTTTAGGATGTTAATAAACTTTTCAGGCACACCGTTCTTCAATAGACAATCCCAGAGAACAGTCCTATCCAACGAATCGAAGGCAGCCCTGATGTCGAGAAACACTACGATTGTTGGCCTTTGATAAGTATGGCGGTGTTCTAACATTTGGTGAAGGGTGAAGATATGATCAATACATCCTCGACCAGAACGAAACCCACCCTGCTCCTCGCTTGTCAATCTTTCTCGGGTTTTGGAAAATCTACAAAGTATGATGGAAGCCACTAGTTTAAATGCTGTCGGAAGTAGACAAATTCCAATTAGATACAATCACTGAAAATCAGGGAATATTAGACAATATCCTTGTTAGATTTTAGAATTTCATGGTGATGCCTGTTCATTGTTTCACTAGTAGTAGTAATAAAAACTATTAAGCGTTGAGGTTAGCGCTCCAATTATTTGTTACACAGTATTACAAATTGACTGAAGTTAGACAACTCAATGATTTAAAGTTAAGAAGATTAGTATAATGTATAAAGGTTTTGGGTTCGACCCCTGGTAGTAGGGTAGGTAGTAGGTACACGCTGGTAAGCAATTTCATACTAGGACAGAACACTTGTTCATTACTTTCTTGTTTACAAAGATTATCTAACTGAAGTCTGTTCGTGATGTAAAACACAACTAAGCATTGAATAATTTGAATATCAAATTGGATTATATCAACTTCTCGTGACAACTATACATGTTTTCTTAAATTGTTTTAATGCACAAACTGTCATTTGAACGTTAGGGCATATATTGAATGAGTAATTGATAGAGAATTATAGTTTTTAATTGTCTATAAGAACATCGCTTTTTATTCCATTTAGTTTACAGTTTTAGTGATATTTGGTTAATCATTTAGCTTTTATTTATTTTATTTAAACACATAAACATTAGTACAAGGAGGCATCGAATAGATATGCGCAGATGGTTTTCTTAGGGGGCCACACGCAGAGCCTTTGATCTAAAGGTCTGGTCCACAATCCAGTGGCGCAACGTGGTAGTCGGTGACCAGCGTTTAGTTCATACACCATTTGTTCTTCCAGGATACTGGAGCCCATGTGCACCATTGGTTTGGAATCATGGTTTTCCAACTCCCCTAGGTGGATCCTTTGTTTCCACTTACCCAGTTTAAATGCCGTACAGTCGCTTTTCATCCTCTCAATTTCGTAGACAACAGTAATGACGATTGAAGGCAGTGAGTAGGACTTTTCTGGCGGTGGTTGTATGTACGTGGCCATGTGAGAGCATTTCGAGAGGGAGAGCTGACTTTCCCCACCCTCGACCGTATAAGGGCGTTAGGGGGCTTGATGGATATAGTTCAAGGTGAACTATTCACATAAAATATTGTTCACTCTGTCCATATTATTTCACTTAGTCAATTGAGTTGTTTAACTCTCATCCGTTTCAATTATTCTGTTTTTCTGAACTAAACTCAGTTATGCATTATAAATGACACAACTTATTGTTTATATAGTTATGACTAGTAATACCATCATATCAGAATGAGTGGGTTCTGATGTCTCATAGCAATACTACTACTCCTATTACTACTACTATTACTACTGCCACTACTGTTACTAATGCTTACTTTCACTACTCAAACTTTGTAAGAATTCATTTATAGTCCATGTAGTTTATTGATAACTTACCTCATTGTTGTATTATAATCTGATTTTGTTCAATATTTAACATGTAAATAAAATAAATTACAATTAATAGATTGAAATTATGAATTGACTAATAGTTAAGCCATTTATTTTCATTCTTACTGCATACAAAGCAGATAATCTTTATAAGATCTCATGAGGATTTCATAGCCATCTGAAATATTCATCCCAATACACTCTGAACGCGAACGCTTAACGTCTAGACCATTGAGTCAGTATCTGATGGATGTTAATGTCTAACCTCAACCAATCCACGAAATTATGCGACCATCTTTCATTGTACTGAGGTAGATACCTCTGTCTACTTGATACGGATTAGCTCCTCTGGTTACGACTTCTCACTAGAACTCCGAGAATTCCCTAACGAAGCTAGGCACTAGTGAGCACATGGTAATTATCAGTATAGGGTTGTGGAGATTATTATATTCTTGATTGAGATCATGAACCGATTGATGCTAGACCACCATTGAAAACCTGAAAGCAGTAGACGGCTGTTTCGCTCTATTGTGGGATTCCTCAGCAGTGGGCATCCACGATCCTGCCTGCGAGATTCGAGTGATTTGACTCACACAAGCTATAACTTCTTGAAATGAAATCATATTTTGTTTTGATTAATGCTTTATTATGTTATTTGATATCTATGATCTGGTAGACACCGACCGAGCATACAAAAATTTCAGTTGTAAATACGCTGCTCTTGCTTTATCGATCCGCGCTTTCACATCTGCATCAGATCCACCCTGTTCATCAATGATGCTGCCCAAATATGTAAATGTTTTTACACCTTCCAAATCTTCTCCGTCAAATGTGATTCGATTGGTGCGTGCTGTGTTGTATGGGAGAATCTTACTTTTCCCTTTGTGTGTATTGAGACCTACTGCTGCTGAGGCTACTGCTACACTGGTCGTCTTCTCCTGCATTTGTTGTTGCGTTCGCGATAGAAGTGCCAGATTGATGATCTTTATGACCATTAAAGTAATCTTGAGGTATGGCGTATGAACCAATTATTAGTTTCCGGCTACCATGAGACTGCATCTGCTTACGATGCTCCACTGCCTCGTGGATCAGACCTTCATGTCGAAGGCTCCGGGTGTGGCCTCCTAAGAAAAACACTTGCTTCGGTTTGGGCGCATATCTATTTAGTGCCTCGTTGTACCAATATCTATGTGTTAAAATGAATAAAAACTTTCCATCAGTTCCATCCTCTTCCATGTGAATGATGTCCATATTATTCTTGAAATCAATAATGTTTCATTCCATAATTAACCAATTTGTCATATGGTTTGAGATATATCCGTTGCCTAATTTCTATCAAACTATTTGTTCAAATATTGACAAATATTCATATAGTCCATAAAGTTGTTATCTATCGGTTTGAGTCATGTTGATAGTTGGAGACTATTTAATTATGATAATCGTAATTAATGGTTAGATAAGTTGATTAACATATCTCAGAATCTGTGTCATTAGTACGTAATTGCTATTCGGACAGCTTTTATTGTCTTGTTAATGTTATCTCACCATGTTGATTTTGTATTATGGTAATTTAGATCATAAACTCCGCCTTTAGTTGTTTTAGAGCTATTGCCAATTTCAAGCTCAAGTAAAAAAAAAGAGTTAAGCGTGGGGTCATTATGCCTATCCTGTAGAAAACAACCTTGCTGAAAAAAAGTTAACCAGATTAAGTAAGTCAGTTAGATGATTATAAATCTGTCCCAAATCTTACATTAACTCACTTACTAACTTGGTCTATTTTCAGCTACTAATTATTATTATTATTATCTTGATATTAGCCATAAAAGAGATACATTAAATCAGATTTCACATTTAATTGTTATAAATATTTATACTAGTAATACTGTTATGTATGCTACTGATGTCGATAGATATATAAGTAGTATGTATCATCAATCAAAAGTCAAGTACTTGGAGGCAGAAGGTTAAGAGAATTAAAGAAAAGAGAACGAGAACAGACAATAATTGGTGTAGAAATGAAAGAACAATGAAGTTGTTGGGATATTCAGAAAAATATCCCAAAAATTATCCTGGTAAATCTAATGCTATCCTTGGACTTGAAATGGTGTCATTTTCCTATTGGCCAAATATTGTACAAATGTTCTATTTTATGGTACGATGTGGTCTGTTTGATTGGTATATAAACTCAGTATTTTTGAAATATAAGGATTCATATCGGATAGGCTGAGACTTGTGTTCTGGACTTAACTGGCTGGGCTAGGCTGGAAGCAGGGTCAATCAGAACTCTAGGCTGCTCATACGGGTTTACGCGTCATTGATTCGATCGATAAGTCACTGCTTTCTAATCGGCGGTCACAAGTTATAACAGAAGTCTAAGACGATTGATTAAGAATTTTGCAAATAAAGTACTTATTGTATTGTTCTCACATATTACTAAGATATTCTGTAATGTTGTATTGAAATACAATTGAATCCATCAGTTCAATAACTAGAATTGATCTGTTTTAACTCTTAAGATCATTACTCTATATAGAATGATTATTTAGTTAAAACAACATCTATAAGTGATTTGCGGAGATTTAAGAAATGTCACTGATTAAAATCGTGAGTCATTTGAAGACAGACCACCATGGAGAACCTCGAAACACTGGACGGGCGTTTCGTCCTAGTATGGTACTCCTCAGCAGTGCGCATCGACGATCCCACTCCCCGCGAGATTCGAACCCAGGACCTATCAGTCTCACGTCAGGTGCTTAACCAACTAAACCATCGAGCTGGCCGGCATCCAACGGTGTTAATGTCTAACTTCAACCAATCCACGAAGTTGCGTCACCGTACACCATTATCTTCAGTGAGTTGATATCTCACAAGAGACGTTGTTGAACTCCACTGGTAACAGCTTCTCATTAGAACTCCAGGAGTATCTCTTGAAGTCAGTCACTAATGAGCAATATTTACCATTTATATCCAAATATTGCTTTATTCGTGTTTTTGTTGTTATCTTATTTACAGAAGAGAATTATGCAATATCAATTATTATTAAGACAATTATGGCTTGTTACATATTCTCCTATTCTCAAATCTAAATTCTATAATCATTCCTATCAGAACAACAATATTCTACTTCACCTATTTATATTTATCCCTTAACAAAATCTATACCATTATGTTTACCTAAAATATTTGATCAACAATTTATTACTAATTATTGTCATATATATGATTTACCATGTTATTATAATCATGATCAAATTAAAAGTAAATTACCTAGAGTTCAGTCAACACGTCGTGCTGAACTATTACATAATCAATTATATAATAATAATAATACTGATCATACTGATCATGATCATCATGATGATCGAATCAAATCTTTGTCCACTTCTCAATCATTATTTCATCAACATCAATCACGTCAATATATTCAAATTGAATTATATAATTATGTGTTAAATAATTTACTTGGTTTATCTAATTTACAATCTACATTGAATACTCATAATCATTCTTTACCATTTTTATTAGATCTTGGTTGTGGGATCAATCATTTAGATATTATCAATCATTATTTATTAACTATATCGAATTTTAATCAAAAATTCATACCATTATGTATTGATTTATTCAATAATAATAATAATAATACTATTACTACTACTACTACTACCACTACTACTACTACTACTACTACTAATACTAGTAGTAATGATAATGATATATTCAATTATAATATCCATTTAATCAAATGTAATTTAATGAAAGATGATATCATAACAACTGGATCACAATTATTACCATTTAAAGATTATTCTATAGATTATATAATATCGATATCATTCTTACAATGGTTATTAGGGAAAGATAAATCATGGTATATGATTAAACAATTAATGAATGAAATTAAACGTTTATTAAATCCATCAATTGATGGTCAATGTATATTACAATTTTATCCAAGTCAGCTAATTGATATTCAATTAATTAGTGAAATTATTGAAACAATTCAATCGAATTTCTATGGTTGTTTATTAATTCATCAACCCATAGTCAATCGTGGTATGAAAATCTTTATTTATTTAACATATAAATAATTCATTGCAATGTGTATTATGTTTTACTTGTTTATTATTGTTTGTTTATGTAATCAACTATGTATATGAGTTGAGATGGAAGATTTAAGGTTTGATTCCGTTTGATGCAAGATCATGAATACGCACTGATGAGGAGTTACACAATAGGACGAAATAGGTGTCCAGTGTTTACAGGTTTTTCACTGGTGATCTAGCTTTAGTTGATTCATGAATTCAACTATTAAATATATATATATATATATATAGCTTCTCCATCAAGTGTGATTGTGTTGATGTTCTCTGAGTTGTATTTGAGGATTTTACTTCTTCCCTTGTGTATGATGAGGCCTACCGATGCAGAGGTTTCTGCTACACTGCATTTATTCGTGTGTATGTGATAGAAAGGCCCAGTCATCTGTGAAGTTCAAATCGTCTAGTTGCATCCTACTTGTCCATTGTATTCAGCGTTTTCCGTGAGATAAGTAGGTCTTCATGACCTAGTTAATTACCAGAAGAAAGAGAAAGGGGGAGAGTAAGCAACATTGTCTGAATCCGGTCCTCACTTGGAATGCATCTGTCAGCTGTCCTCCATGCACTACTGTTCACGGATGATATTGGCGGTTATCTCAGCTACTCATTCCATAGTACCGAAGAATTCCCCATAAGGTCCTCCTGTCCACACTGTCAAACGCCTTTTCATAGTCAACGAAGTTGATATATAGGGACGAGTTCCATTCAACTAATTGTTCAACAATGATCTGTAGTGTCGCAATTCAGTCTGTGTCCGAATAACAATAACTAAGAATGAATTAAAAAAAATTTAAGTTTTATGCAAAACAACAAACTATTGAGCCAATAAATCAGATTCACTCAACCTGTATAGTATAATTCATATGACAATTTTACCGTTAGAATACTTCTACCTATTAAATGACTCTCTAAACTTATTCCATGCCTCAATGCGCATTGTTTGCTTAATACACATAATGCTGAGGTGATCATAACTAATTTTACAGTAACTTTAACAAATGTCAATTAATGATGTAACACGTTGATCACATGTTGAATTTCACAAATCTATTTTGAGATTAAAATCGATAACAATAAGTCAGTCAGTCAGTAACAACGTAGAACTTCGTACGTACGTACATCACTTCGAGTTGCCATACCACATTAGCACAGAGATGCAGTGGTCAATTCAAATCCCTTAGGGGTAGAGGTAGTAAGAGTGTAAGCAGTAATCGGAAACACTAGGGTTTGAAGGTGTTATTAAAGCAGCACAATCCAGTTGAATAAATTTGGAAATTGAAAAAAAAGACATGAGGAATTCAGAAGATAAGAATTTTGAAGAACGCAAAGAATGAATGCACCTGCGCCATTGCAAACGAATTTAAGACATGTCATTCAAGGCCTCTAATCATCGGTTCCTATCATTTCACAAATTCCAACCAGGCAGTCTACACCTACTAATTTAGCTCAGTCCACTTGACAGTGACTTTGAGGATTTATGCCATGTTTTGGTCTGGCCGCCCCTAGCTTTCTTCTAATCTACTCCTATACAACAAAACGTCGCTTGTCGAGGCAGTCGGTCGTTGGGCATACGTAACACGTGTCCCAGCCATCTCAAATGATGAAGTTTCACTACTTCATCAATTGATTTGCCATCCTTACCTAGTACCCGTTTCCTAACAACTGTGTTACTTACTCGGTGGTCCCAGGATATACGAGCAATATTTCGAAGACACCTATGATCAAATACTAGTAACCTACGAATATCCTCTTCTCTTACCGGCCATGTTTCACTGCCATAAAGTAGGACGGAACGAACTGCTGCGCAGTAAACCCGTCTTTTGGTTGATAGACGGATATCTCGCCTACGCCATAAATGACGCCAGTTGGCAAAAGCTAGTCGAGCCTTCTGTGTCCGTGCTGAGATTTCGTCACACTAAACCACAAGGGCTGATGAGACTTCCAAGATAAGTGAAGCGGTCGACACACTCAACTACTTCACTCCCTATCACTAGTTCGGGTGTTGATGTAACCCAATCCTGAAGCAACATTTTGCATTTCGAGGGAGAGAATCGCATCCCGAACATGCTTGCATTGTTGCTTACAGTGGTCAGAAGACTCTGCATTTTGTCAGCGTCTTCACCAAATAAAACTATGTCATCGGCATATTCCAAGTCAACAAGTGAACCTCCCGGTAGAAGTTCAACCCCTGTAAATTTAGATGAGGAAAGTGTTATCTCTAAAAGTACGTCAATCACAAAGTCGAACAAGAATGGAGAGAGTGGACAGCCCTAACGAACACCACTTGAGGTAATCAATTCTGATGAAGGTTCGCCATAAGCTCTCACTCTACCGGTTGTGTTCGAGTAGAGAGCCTTTACAAGGTTAGTGTACTTCTTTGGTACTCCTTTCAGTGAAAAGCACTGCCATAGAACCTCACGATGAACAGAGTCGAATGCCGCCTTAATGTCGAGAAATACTACCATTGTGGGGCGTCTGAATGTATGTCTGTGTTCTAGGACCTCACGTAGTGTGAATATCTGATCTATACAACCACATCCAGATCGAAAACCAGCCTGGTTTTTTCTAGTCTGCTCTTCACGAGCTTTGATTAGGCGTCGAAGTATTATTGAAGCTAATATTTTAGACACTATATTAGTCAAACAGATTCCTCTGTGATTGTCACAAGAGGACTTTTGTCCTTTCTTATAGACTGGCACAATCAGTGACTGAGACCAGTGAGATGGGATTACGTCCAGTTCCCAGATCCTACCTAAGACCTCAGTCAATCTCACTGCTATTATATGTATATATGTTTTTAAGAAAAAATATGCTTTTTTTGCTGTCCTTTTCCCTGTGTTGAGACAAAAGCAAGAAAAAACTAAATTATCATCGAAAACCTGAAAGCACTGAATAACTGTTCCGTCCTAAGTACGGAACCACACTCTTAATGGCCACGTTTCGCCGTCGTAAATTAAAACAGAACGGACTGCCGCGCAGTATACTCGTCCTTTTATTGATAGACAGATATCTCGCCTTCGCCATAGGTGACGTAAGTTGGCAAAAGCCAAGCGAGCAATTTCGAATCCGTGCTGAGGTTTTGTCAGACACCAACCCATTAGGGCTGATCAGACTTCCAAGATAAGTGAAGTTGTCAACGCGTTCGACTACTTCACTCCCTATCCTTAGTTCAGGTGTAGACACAGACCAGTCCTGAAGCAACAACTTGCATTTAGAGGGAGAGAAGCGCATTCCAAATATTCTGGCATTGTTGCTTAGTGCTACCAGAAGACTGCATTTTTTTATCGTCTTCACCAAACAGGACTATGTCATCCGCGTATTCTAAGTCGATAAGTGGACCTCCTGGAAGGATATCAATACCCGAGAATTCAGTAGACGAGAATGTTATTTCCATCAGTAGGTCTATGGTGAAGTTAAACAAAAATGGAGATAGTGGACAGCCTTGACGGACACCACTTGAGGTTGCAAAAGCAGATGACAGTTCGCCATAAGCTCTGACTCGATTGGTAGTGTTCGAGTAAAGAGCCTTCACAAGGTTTATGTACTTCTGAGGGCTGAAGGCCAGCTGAACTGTTCTCTGAAATGTTCCGTCCATCGTTCTAAACGTCTAGACTGGGAGCAGATGAGAGTGTCATCTTTTTCCGAAATAATCTCACTTACACTTGACTTATTAATTCCAGTTTCTTTTATGAGTCTGTAGAGCTGTCTTGTGTTACCTATTGCCGCCGCCTTTTCCATCTCTTTTGCATTCGTTGCCTACCACTGCTCATAGTCGTTCCTTAGACTTTTGGTTAACCTAGATCTGATTTTTTTTCGCTCTTCATCATGTTCGGAACCTGATGGGACGAGTTTGCGAGAATCCATCAGTGCAATAGACCTTGAGGAAATCCATTGGTTCTTTGTAACTCTGTGGTTTAAATCACTGATAGATGTCACTGCTGTTCCCACAGCTGTTTATGTATCTTTCTAAGCAACATCTGGGTCAACCTCGTTTTCAGAACTACCTAAATGTGACCTCAGTTGTTCCTGCAATCTACTTTTGGCTTTCGTGTCACTGGTTTTTCTGTGTCCAGTGAGACGCAAGCAGATGCGTGCCCGTATTTGGGCGTGGTCGGAGTCCAAGCAGGCACTCCAGAATGAGCGACAATCTTCTACCGACCCTCTCCAACGATGACTGATGGCAACATGGTCTGTTTGAGTCCATCGTTGGTTTGGTGTACGGGGTCGCCATGTTAGACGATGTCTCTCCTTATGCTTAAAATTTGTGTTTGCTAAAAATAAACGATTGTCTGAGCACAGTTGCAGCAGACGATCACCATTATCTGTTCGCTGTGCCGGAATACTAAAATACCCACCTAAATGCATTTCTGTTTGGTTTAAACTACCTATCTGTGCATTAAAGTCACCTGCTACGAGTACTATGTCTGAACGTTTAGCTTTTTGAAGAAGTTCAGATAGCTTTCTGTAAAATTCATCTTTCACTTCATCTGAGCTGCAATCGGTGGGAGCGTAGGCAGAAACGACAAAAAGGCAACGACGTGTGTCCCTATCCTTCCGAGTTCTTAAGGAGCCGTTTAGCCGAACAACACACAAACGACTGTAAACGGGGATCCATTCTAACAGTGCTTGTTCCGCCCTCATGCTTAGTGTTATCCCTACACCTGCCAGTCCACGAGAGCTGGCCGTCAGGTCACCAGATAAACGGAGGGTGTATCTCGTTAGCTCTCCGTTTTGCCAAGGTGAGGTCAAGTGAATGACCACACTGGGATCCTGTATGTGTGTTTCAGAGACACAGCATAAATCAGTCGTACGAGATTCTAGGGTTCTAGCCAGGGAAGCCTGTTGACCGATTTGACATAGGGTGAGTACGTTGAAGGCTCCAACGTGTAGTTTGGAGCGAGGTTACAGTAGACCTGGGACAGTGTTTTGCGCACTAGAATCGTCGGTTGTGGTGAAACTTGAGGGGAAGCCGAAGGAGGAAGTTTAGAGTTGAAAGTCGATGTAGGAGGAATAATAGGAATTGAAGAGGAAGGTTGATTATGAATACAGTGGTCTTGAGTGCTGTTAGAGGTATGAGGGCGGTTATCACTTCCCGGTTGCCCACACCGAGGAAGGGTTGTTCTGGAGGTACCTGAAAAGGAAATTTGATTAGAGGTGGTCTTAGTGTCCTGAGAGTGTGACCGCAGTGCCCAAGGGACAACTGCTTGAGGTCGGTCACACACGACCTTTTTATGGGTAATTTTTGTGTTTTGCTTTTAGTCTTACCGCTCTTCAACCGACCTTTCTGACATGGTGGGACCTTGAGGAACGGTTGTTCCAGCCAGTATAGCTCGGTCGCTTCATCACGATAGGCAAGTCAAGGAATACTTATATGAAATGCCGTTAGTCGTGAGGTACCTTGCGAAGATGAAAAATTCGTCGATAATTTTTTGAATCTTCATCAAATAAGATGATTGAAGTTTGCATTTTTTTATAACGAATCATTGAGATAGTGTCTGTGATAGGAATACGTCTGAAGTAAGCTGATTCGTCTTTAGCAAACCATCAGCGATTCTGCCTTATGAAAACAGAATGAGGAGTGTTCAAATGTCCACCATAAACAAAGCGCATCTTACCTTATTCCATGGAGTTCTGTTATCAGTTTTAAGGAATGAAAATTATGGAGCCTATGTTTCCAAATCTCACGAACAGGTTGTGTATGACGCGTCTCAAGGAGAAACTTCTTGAGTTTTATTGTCACGCTCCTAAGTTGACATGTAAACTAACTATTCTCACTTACTAGTATAGGGGTTGTGGAGATTAATAAATTTTTGATTGAGATCATGAACAGAATAATGTTAAACCACCTTTGGAAACCTGGAAGCACTGAATGGCCGTTTCGTCCTATTGTGGGACTCCTCAGCAGTGCCCATCCACGATCCTGCTCGCAGGGTTCGGACCCATGGCCTTCGGTCTCGCGCGCGAACGCTTAACCTACTCGGTCACTGAGCCGGTATCCAATGGTGATAGTGTTTAACATCAACCAATCCACGAGATTGCCCGACCATCTTCCAATGTCGGGTAGAGACAGGTATCTACCTCAGTACAATGGAAGATAGTCGTGCAATTTCGTAGATTGGTTGGTCTTAGACATTAACACCGTTGGATGCCGTGCAGCTCAGTGGTCTAGGTTAGGCGTTCGCGCGAGACTGAAGGCCCTAGGTTCAAATCCAGCGAGCAAGATCGTGGATGCGCACTGCTGAGTAGTCCCACAATAAGACGAAACGGCCATTCAGTTCTTCCAGGTTTCCAAAGGTGGTCTAACATCATTCGGTTCATGATCTCTATTCTCACTTAGTTCTCGCAATAAGAAATATCTTTCTACACTGTTAGGAACATTATTATTATTCATTACTCCACTTCCGATTATCTCTTAGTATGATACTAGAGTAAAATAATTTGAATTTCATGATAAGCTGGTTATCAGCTTCCTCCAAATAGAAAATATGTTTTTCTGATGAGTACAAATGAGTCAAGGATTATGGTACATAACCTTCTATAGATTGGCTACATCTAACGTATATTAACGATGTGATGTTTTCTGTCTAAAAATGAGTGCTGACAATGTTATAATAAACAGCTATAATAAGCTTACAATTAAACTACTCAACTCAAAGATTTTCATATTACCTAAAGACCTGTTTAATATGTCTTTTTAGTTGAAAGATTTAACTACTTCATAGTTCTCATAAATCTTCTACTCTTAAACTCCGAGAAATGAACATAACTTATGAAATATAGAAGCAGTTTATAAATATAGAAATCAAAGGTATTTATACGAATACATATGAACTTGACACTGTAGAAGCTTCCGAAAAGAACAGGTCAAACATTAGTACCAGGTTTAAGTCTTGTCCAGTCAGCATTATGGAAATATAATCGACCATTTTCTGGAATTCTTTTAGAATTTTCCAAAGATCATTAATTGGTCGATGTATTTTCATGATTTATTTGGTTTATAAAGAAATTTCCTAGGAATTGTCAGGAGATCTTGATAATTCGATTATTAACATTTCTGTATAAGACTCCTCACTGTAGTTGGTGCATACGTCATATTTATTTTAATGAATCGATTGGTTTTTGTTTGATCTCTTTTAGATTTTTAAAGATGAGCTTGTAGCTCTTCTAGGGCTACTGCCGGTTCCAAGCCAGGGTAAAGAAGAAGGGTTGGGCATGGGGTCGGCAATCTTATCCCGTAGAAAACAACATTTCTAAAAACGACAAGTAGATCTGGACATAAGTTTTACTCTAATTCACATCATTCACCAAGGGATGCCTGAACTGTATGGGAGAGCAGATATCACATTCATTTCAAACCTGTGTCACTAAGTTGTACTGGCTGCCCATAACATCCTGTAGGATTGAATGACGATGTTTTTGGTCATAAAGTGAATTTTTACCTCAGAAGGTGTATCAGTTTTATCAAGATTACAAATAAGATTTGATCAAAAGCACGTAAGGCCTCCTGGCTTTTGACATCTACTAGAGAACATAAAAGTATCTTGTACTCGATGTTTATCTGTTAAAACTAGTGAGTACATTGTATTTTATTCAATAAAACTCAATCAATCACTTAAAATTAGAGAAAAATGACATATCTTTTAATCAGCAACATATCACTCCCAAATGATCTAGTACGGCCTAGAGTGGAAGAGATAGTTCTCTCTCTCCCTCGAAATGCTCTCACATGGCCACGTGCATACAACCACTGCTACACAATTCTTACTCACTGCCTTCAACCGTTATTACTGTTGTTTACGAAACTGAGACGACGAAAAGCGAATGTCCAGTACTTTAATCAGGTTGCTGGATATAGAGAGTAAATGGTGGTTGGAGGTAGTCAACAGGAAACCCTGGACCCGGGTTTTGTGCTTTTTGGCACTCGTCAGCAAGGTGTACCTGTAATCTTGAGGGAACTGGCGGATTCGATCCCGTGTCACCCAGCTTCACAATCAAAGACGTTACCACTGAACTATCCGGGCTGTGACCACTTACTTCAGTGTCCATAACCAATCTTCATTCATATTATTGATCATACATTTCCTGTTCAGTATTTTCCATAATATAGAATCAATTAGGAAAAAAAATAATTTAATTTGGCACACACACACAAACTTAATTACAAACATGATTGAATTCATATACAATAATAATTAAACTATAATTAATAATAATAATAAAGTATTCATTAAAGGAATGACAAAATAATTAAGATAAATACTGAAATTAAAAAAAATAAAGTTTTTCTTTTTTTTCTTTTTTTCAAAAAAAAAGTTAAAAAAATAAAGTAAATCAATAAATTAGTCGATATGGTAACAAAAAACATCAATAATAATAGAATATGGATAATAATAATCATCATCATCATCGTAATCATGTTTTATCTTTTTAACTTACTACTGATACTACTTATATATATTAAATTAAGTAACATAATCTACTTGATGATTTTTGATGTAATTTTTTATTTGTATTTAATTTTCTAATAGAATTATTTTGTTTGAATGAATCATTAGAATATTCATTGAATTTTAATGGAATTAATTTTGATTGAAATGAATTTTCTTGAAGATTATTAGAACTTTGTTGAATAGTTGATAAATTCGAATTGAATTTGAATGATTTAATGGAATTATCTTTAGTATTATAAGGTGACAATGTGATTTGATCTAATTGACTAAGACGTCGTGATCTATATGATGTAAAAGAAAGAATTAGAAGAGGTTTTATTTGGATATTATAGTAAATTCAATAGTTGTGGTCATGAGTCAATTGAAGTTAGACTATCATGAATATTTGGAAGCATTGGACGACTTATTCATCCCATTATGGCACTCCTCCGTGGCAGTGCGCATTCACGATCCCTTCTTGCGAGATCAGAACCCAGAACCTATCAGTTTTGCGCACGAGCGCCTAACCACTAGACTAGTGAGCCAGCATCCAATGATGTTAATGGTCACTCCAAGCAGTGACCAGTGGAGTTCAATCGGATCTGTTGTGAGATTGTAACTCATTGAAGACAATGTTGGATGTGTCGCTCAATTTTGTGGATTGGTTGGAGTCAGACATTAACACCGTGGGATGTCGGTCGACTCAGTGGTTTAGGGGTTACGCGTTCGCTCGCCAGGCTTATAGGTCCTGGGTTGGAATTTCACGAGGCGGGATCATGGATGCGCACTGCTGAGGAGTCCCACAATAGAACGAAACGGTCATCCAGTGCTTACAGGTTTTCCATTGTGGTCTAGCTTCACTTTACTTATGATTTCAACTATTAAAACAAAGAAGGTTTTATAGTTTTAATATTATGAAAATTACATATTATGCAACACATTTAATCTTGTTTCAAGCTTGTTAAAAATACTTTGCACTCCAGTGTGTATTAGAGTTGAGAACTATAATTTATGAATGATCTTTGAGTGATACTTAAACGGCCTTGAGAATGTTCATGAACATACTGCAGCCAAATCAGGATTATAAACCAATGTGAGGAATAAGGATTCATATTTATAGTTGATAGTTAGGGTTAAGGGTTTTCATCACGGATTGACATAAACTATAATGCCAAAACTCTATTCAGCCAAATGAATGAATGAATTTTGCGCTGAAATTCAAGATCTGTTATCGTAAATCTGATTGGTTCGTTCATAAATTATAGTCTCGCTGTATTAGGACAGAGATTATCATGACCATGATAATGATGAAATAAGTTGTGTAATTTGGTAATTTTACTCGACTATGATAAATTGATACTACTTAGCTTAATAACGGTGTGCTATGTGTTACTGATGTCCACATATGTAAGTAGTATATATCATTAATCAAAAGTGGAATGATTGGCAGTCGAAGTTTGAAAAAATCAAAGAGAACAGAACGAGAACAAAAGAGTGATTAGTATAGAAACGAAGGGACAACAAAATCTTAGACAATTGATGGATATTTTACAAATGGAGTCTTTACTGTTATGGTTCTCAGATTTTACCAAGATATTCTGTTATGTTGTATTAGGATACATTTAGTTATTCTCACTTGTGTTCTCGTTCACTACAACGGAACGTATGTCATTACGAAGACAATTACATAACAAACAATCAGTTCAGCTGTTTATTTTACTAGCAATCACCAATATGACGTGCTTCATGAAAAAGAACACAATTTTCAAGATGAATCATTCAACAAAGTATAAAGGTTTTACTAACAGTGTAATGTGTTCTATCAAGCATTAAATATAATTTAGAACTGTTATTATTGTTGAGTTCTTTCGATTGAGTTTTCGTTGTCTATATGAGAAACAACATCAATGCCTACTTTAAGCGTTAAGTCAATGAGTTTGTGGAATAATCAAAGCTGTCACTTCCTGTTATATCCTTGATCTGTTTACCCACTTTTGGTGCCAAGGATAACTTGTATAATCTATATTAGGACCTTGGCGCGATAGGCTGACCAACCCAACCTTGAGGCCAGTACGTATGAATTCGAAGTGAGGTAGAGTGAAGAAAACTATTCTATCACCTGATTGATTGACAAGCACGCGAGTGAGAGAAGATAAGACAATTGGAACACTACTCGATCTATTCCCGATATCCCGATTTTCCGATTAATGTAAAAGGGTACATGAATAAATAGGTGACTAACCCGACCACAACGTACAATAATTAGGAAAAATACAATCATGTCCAAAAGTGGAGATCAGCGTAGAAAAATAGAGTACAAAGTATTATGTTTAAATCACAATAGCTTCGGAGCAGAATAGATAGAATTTCGCCAGTAGTGGAGTCCAGGACACGCGTTTCGTTCAGTTCGAGACTGGTAGGCTGGGTGAACCTGTATCCCAATGTTGATGTCCATCTCGGGATTCCAACATTACCCTTTGCTTCAAACACCAGTCACGGAGTGCACATTAACTCTTCGATGCAGGTACATCCAGCTGACGAGTTTTGAACTGAACAAAGTATATACATACTGTAATCGATTGTTAGCCACAATTCATTTATTTTACAGCCGTTCAGTGCTTCCAGATTTTCAATGGTAGTCTAGCTTAGATTGACTCATGAATTCAATTGTTAAAATATTCAATATAACTTATAATAAAATGTTTATATTGAGGTAATCTGTACAGGATGAATATATGCCAATTAAACTTAGTAGAATTTCAGTCAAACTATCAACAACGGAATAATCTAGATTGTGTTTTCAATGACAAACATTCCATTATTAAGCTAGATAGTATCAATTATCATAGTTGAGTAAAATTACTAAATTACATAATTTATTGTATCATTCATATCAGGTAGACAAACCATTTTGATTATGATAATCTTTGACCTAGTACGGCGAGTCTATGTCCCCAAATGCCCTGATACAGCCGAGAGTAGGGAGAGTCAGCTCCCTCTCTCGAATTGCTCTCACATGGCCACGTGCATGCAACCACTACCAGGGAAGTCCTACTCACTGCCTTCTCGTGATGGGGGTAATGTTTACGAAATTGAGAAGAAGACAAGCGAATGTCCGGAGTCTTAACTGGGTTAGTGAAGGTGGAAGATCTACGTAGAGGAGTTGGAAAACCGTGATTCCAAACCAGTGGTGCACATAGGTTCCAGGATCGTGAGGGAAAATGGCTTATGAACCAATCGTTGGTCACCGACCACCTTGGGACTGCATATCCTGACGTTGCTTCACTGCCCTGTAGATCAGACCTTTCGGTCGGAGGCTCCAGGCGTGGCCCCCTAAGAGAACCACCTGCTTCAGTTTGGGCAACCGGGCAGTATCATAACCCACACACAAATCAAGTGACTTGTGTGGCGCATATGTATTTGGTACCCCTTTGTACTAATATTTATGTGGGCAAACAAAATAAATTAATGATAAAGACATGCTCTAAACGTTCGTTGGTTATGGTAGCTGGAACATATGTTAAGTGTATGCTGATATTTTTAGGAGTTGGGTGCCAGAAAACTGAGAGTGGCCTAACCAACATATTGTGTCAATTTATGAAGTTTAATTTTATTGAACTAAACTATGTTGGTAGGAGTAGACCACCTAGTTAGGGCCTGCAAGTTGATTCTCAACACTGGTTGGATATGTTGAAGGATATGGTTAGGATGCTTTCATTTTCGATTTCTTCATAAACATTGAGTTTTAAAATCCCTTCTTACATACATTTGTTCTGACGGTTGGTGTTCAAAATCTGACATTGATACATGGTATGCTACGCTCTAACCCCTCAACTGACTATTTGAGCCAGAAAGTGTATTGGGATGCCAAATAAAATGTATAAAATTCTCATTCATATATATACGACTCTAATCCTTAGAAAATTGACCGATTTCTTAGCCAATGAAATGCACTTGTCCTTCAGAGTCACTCCTGATTGCCATCAATTGACCTTCTCACTAGGTTACTTCTGAATGGCTCTCCATATCAACATTCTTTTTCAATTATATACTTCGACATTTAATTTCTCTCGCTACCATATATATCACTATTCATGATGATGATGTGATGATGGTGATTTCATATCTCTACATCCAAATGATATAACAATTTAGGAAGAGAAATATCTATGTTAGGTCTAATTATTTGCTTATCTTTTTGATTGAAATCATGAACCGACTGATGTTAGACCATCATTGAAAACCTGAAAGTACTGGACAGTCGTTTTGTCCTATTGTGGGATTCTTCAGCAATGCGCATCCACAATCTCATTTGCAGGATTCGAACCCAACAGCACTTAATATCCCAAGTTACACAAAATAATGATCAATATTATTATGTTAATTAACACAAAGATTACGATCTAACCTTTTCTACTATCAAATACATTATCAAATCAATGTACACATTAGTCAGTCAGCTACAAAGTAGGACCAGGCACATATATGTATCGGTCCAGGTTGCCATACTGCATTAGCACAGTAAGATGAACACCGGATTCATAGGAGTGGTTAGATCAATGGTGGTAATATATAAAAGAATGATTGCATATAAGGATATAGTACAGGAAGAAAGAATTAGTTCATAGAAAGAGAGATATGAGGCGATTTTAATCTCCTAGTTTAAAGGAAGACAGAGAATGATGGTAAATCAGTTGATGAGATTGTGAATCTTCATCGACTAAGATGGTTGGGCCATGTGTGACGTATGCCTGAACACTGATTACAACAACTATTCTTTTCTTCTTACCTATGAATTTTATGCAACATAATACGATATGCACCAGTGACAGCGCATCGTGTTGAATAATTATAGGAATTTTGTATTTCATCAGTGGTTATACCTAAATTTGATAATAAATAATTTGCTGCTTCTAATTCAGCATCATCTTGATCTGATGAATTGATCTCATTCAATTGATTCAATGTTTCATGATCAGTTTGATTATTTGTAATGCTTGGAATAGTATGGATTGATTGTTTATGTATTAGATGATTAGATAGTGGGATTTCATCATTTGAAGTGATTTTATCCATGGATATATTCTTGTTTATTTTATATCCTGATGAAGATGAATTTATAAGATTCTGTTTAATCTGAGGAGTTGTAGGAAGCTGTGAAAATAACAACAACAACAACAAAAATTAAAACTGATCATGAAAAACCTATAAGCATTAGACGACTGTTTTATTCTAGGGTATAACACTTCAGGGATAGGAATTCATTAATCCGGATACAGGAATCGAACCCAGGACCATTAAGTAGCGCATAAGAACGTTTAAGTTCTAGACCATTGAGATGAATAAATGCAATTTATCGTGGATTGACCTCATTTTCGGTATCGCTCGACTTTTCAGTAATATCCATCAATGACTCCATCAGGGGGTGAACATAGAACCTGTTTGGGATCTACTGGTGGACATTTCCAAGTTGAGTTAATTCGTGATATAACTCAACGATGATTTATTCCTCATAGTAGCAATTGGTTTACTCAGGATCTACTTACTTACTTACTTACGTCTGTTACTCCCAATGAGGTATAGGCCTCTGACTAGCATTCTCCAACCCACTATGTCTTGGGCCTTCCTCTACAGTTCTATCCAGTTGTTGTTTATTCTCATGTTTTTCTCCGTTTCACGGCGTAATGTGTTCTTTGGTCGTCGTATTTTCCTTTGGCCTTGAGGATTTCAAGTGATGGTTTGCCTTCTGACGCCTGGGACTACTGCTGATCCCAAGCCTAGATAAAGGAGGGTTGGGAATGGGGTTAGTGACCCCATCCCGTAGAAAACTAACTCCCTAAAAAACCCTAACCGGAAAAAATTATTACTCAGGATATGACTGAAATGAGTCATTTATGGCTTGTCACTAAACCTTCAAAAGGCCATCTCGAAATAAGTCATTTGGTTTACAGATGATATTCGTTATAGTCAAATCATGAATGAACCTATTGTTGGTCATCGGCCACCACGGGATTGCATCTCCTTACGTTGCTCCACTACTTTGTGGATCAGACCTTTTGGTCGAAGGTTCCGTGTGTGGCTCCCAAAGAAAACCACCTTTTCTTCGGTTTCGGCACTCGGACAGTATCACAGCCTACACACAAATCAAGTGACTTGTGTGGCGCGTATGTACTCGGTGTCCCTTTGTACCAATGGCAATGTGCTGAAATAAGTAAATAAGGTAACAGAGGTGATCAAGTCAATCTAAAAAACGAAATACAATTATCAAAGAAGTAGTCAAATATTAAATTTAATAGTTGAGTTCATGAGTCAATTGAAGCTAGAACACCATGAAAAACCTGAGAACACTGGATGGTCGTTTCTTTCTCGTACGTGCACATCTGAAGAGTCTCATACCAGGACGAAACTGCCGTTCAATGCTTTCGGGTTTTCAATAATGGTCTAGTTTAAATTATAATTTAAATTAAACTTACAGGTGGACAATGTTTAAATCGAGGTAATGGTTTAGGAAATGTTTGACCAGTTAACCAATTTGTCCAAGTTGAACGTTGACGTAATATAATTTCAATTGGTGTTAAATCTTTTCTAGCAAATTGTGCATATTTAATTAATTGTGAAGCTGTTGGACGTAGATCCGGTTGACGTGTTGTTAAATTACGATAAAGATCAGCAGCTGCTGGTGATAAATAATCTGGTGGTTGTAGACCACTATTATTCAATACTAAACGTCTAACTTGTCCAACAGTTGTACCATTAAACGGTAATAAACCAGTTAACATAAAAAATAATACTATACCAAGTGCCCACATATCAACTGGTCCACCACGATAACTGAAATATAAAGATAAATTATATATGTGTGTAAGTATTATGAAAGAAAATCCAACAATGGTTGTTATTGTAAGCAGTGATCGATAGTGACTACCAGTGGAACCCAGGACTCTCGTTTCGTCCTATTTGAGACTCATCATCTGGATGTACCTGCATCTTAGAGTTGATGTTCACTCTGGGACTCGAACTCAGTATCATCCAGCTGACGAGTCCCAAATAGGACGAAACGCGCGTCCTGGATTCAACTGCTAGCTACTATCCATCATTGCTTACAAAACTTGTGAATTAAGGCAATATCGAGGCATACGCCTGGTATGCACATATGTCAATAACAGACTGATCAATTGCAGTCTTAAACCTCAATGGGAAGAAACAACCCAAACAATACCAAGTGAATAAATGTTATTTCTTTCTTATTTCTTCTATGAAAAGATTGAATCAGAATTAATGGATATACAGATGAGTTGAATAAAATGATGAAGTACATCATGAAATGAACTGTACGTATACAGTCTTTTGATAACACTGAGCAACAATACCAGAATGTTTGGGATATGTTTCTCCTCCTCCAAGACTGGCCTGAGTCAACAAGGATCGGGAGTGAAGTAGTCGAACGCGTTAACAACTTTACTTATCTTGGAAGTCTGATCAGCTTAAATGGGTTGGTGTCTGACGAAATCTCTGCATGGTTTCAGAAAGTTCGTCTGGCTTTTGCCAACTTATGTCATCTATGGTGAAGGCGAGATATTCATCTATCAGTTAAGGGACGAATATACTATGCAACAGTTCGTTTTCTTCCACTTTATAGCTGCGAAACGCAATTAAGAGTGGTAAGTTACTAGCATTTGATGACAGATTTCTTCTGGGATCACCGAGTAATTAATAGTGAGACTAGACACAGGGTATTAGGGAATGATGATAAGTCACTTGGTGAGGTTGTGGATCTTCATCGACTGAGATGATTGGGTCACGTGTTACTTATTCCTGAACACCGATTACCACGACGCTCAATGCTGACTAGTGTTTTGGTTGGTTGTAAGAAAGATTGGGACGGCCAAACTAAAACATGGTATCAGTGCTTGAAGTCACTAATTTCTAGTCTTATCCATGTTGATAGATGCAGACTACTTGGTTGGGTTCCGCGTGACTATTGTAACCAGTGGTTGAAGACTGTGGGTGATATGGCTGAGAATCTATCACAATGGCGTCGGTGTATATACTCTCTGTCTTTCCTTAAACTAAGAGATTAAAATCGCCTCATATCTCTCTTTATACGTACTAAATCTTTCTTCTTGTACTATATCCTGACATGCAATCTTTCTTTTATATATTGCTACCTCTGAATTAACTACTTTTATGAATCCAGTGTTCATCTTGTTGTGTTAATGAGGTATGGCAACTTGGACCGATGCATATATGTGCCCGGTCCTACGTTGTAGCAGACTGACTGACTGAACTGTACGTAGTCGGTCAAATACATACACAGATTAATGTTAGGAAATCTATATTGTACTTCATAATTACAAGAACTAACTTTATCTCGATTAAAATATTCACAATGATTGGGTTTACATTCATTTCATCACCATACGGAAAGTGAATCAGTGATTGGAAGACACGAAAAAGTCCACATACATATATAATGCTTTCATCAACTCCGCCTGTAGCTAACTGTAATATACGAGGATAACCAAGATGTATATTTTGATAACAATCATTCATAGGTTCTAATTGGAGTCAGATACCGGGTTACAAAACAATCAATTACAAATCTTGACCATTGAATATACACAACTGTTGTGATGACACTTTTATTCGATTGACATTTTGCATAATCTTTTCTACTATTACCACTTCTACTACTCTGGTATTTGTATTGATAAGTTGATCTATTTTTGTAGTGACATGGTATGACACTTTGTGATGATGTATAACTGCATCATGTCTTATGTTTCTATTGACTAATTACTTACTTGCGCGTTACTCCCAATGGAACATAGGCCGCCGACCAGGATTCTACAATCCACTCTGTCCTACGCCCTACTTTCTAGTTCTATCCAATTCTTGTTCATTCTCCTTGTACCTGTCTCCATTTCTCGGCGTAACGTGTTCTTTGACCTTGAGGATTCCAAGTGATGAGGGCTTGCCTCAATATATATCCTATCCACTTCCAACACTTCTTCCGGATTTCTTCCTCCACTGGAAACTGGTTTGTTCTCTCCCATAGTAGGTTGTTACAGATAGTGTCTGGTCAACGGATACGAAGTATTTTGTATAGACAATTGTTAGTAAACACTTGTATTTTCTGGATGATAGCTTTCGTAGTTGTCCAAGTTTCCACCCCATACAACAGAACTGTGTTGACATTTGTATTAAAAATTCTGAGTTTGGGGTTGGTTGACAGAGAGATGTTTTGAGTTCCAGATGTTCTTTATTTATAGATATATTGCTCTTGCTTTACTGATCCACGCCTTCACATCTGTATCAGATCCACCATGTTTATCAATGATGCTGCCCAGATATGTAATGGTGTTTACTTCTTTCAAAGCTTATCCATCATGTGTGATTCGATTGGTGATTGAAATATGCTCTACAAATTCATTTATCTAATAATATATATTGGCACATACAGTGTTCAATTAAGAACTCATAACTATTATTACTATTGATAGTTGTGAATCAACTTTACATATTACGTGCGGGTTAGCGCTTTTTAGCGAGTTTGTTTTCTACGGGATGGGGTCTCTGACACCAAGCCCAACCCTCCTCCTTTACCCTGGTTTCGGACAGGCAGTAACTCTATAAGAGCTACAGGCTGAGGAGGAAATTAGGAAAAGACGATAAAAATGGATAGGACATACACTATGGAAATCACCAAACCGAATCACGAGGCAAGGCCAAACTTGAAATTCTGAAGAGAAACGGAAAAGAGTAAGGCCAATGAACACATTATGTCGGGAAATAGAAGCAGACATGAAGATGATGGATAACAGCTGGAAAGAGCTGGAAAGGACTGTCCATGACAGAGTTGAATATAGAGTGCTGATGTTTGACCTATGCTCCTCCACAAGGAGTAGCAGGCATAAGTAAGTAAGTTACATATTACATCATTATTTTTTATTACATAATTGTAAAAAAAATATATAAAAGAAAATGTTACATACGATTTTGATTCAAATAATTCTGGTGCAGCATATGCAGGTGAACCACAAAATGTTGTTAATTGTTGATTTGTTTCTTTAATTAATTTACTAAAACCAAAATCAACTAATTTCACACGATAATGATCTGGGCATAAATCTATAAATTCAATATGAAAAACAAACAAACAAAGTAAATGAATTAGGTTAAGTGTTGACGGGTCGTTAGTGTTATTCAATAGGTAACCTTAGATCTAGGTTTCAATCTAGATGATGTTTGTAGCTCAAGTGGATGATTTTGATGGAGTTTTGTTCTCTGAGCTGGATGGTTTGGTTGTGGAGCTTTCATCGTTCTTCTGAACAACATCATCAACACAAACTTCAGATATCAACCAATCAGGAAAATCATGCACAAATATAGGAAGAAAAATCATATCAATGGGAGACACAACCAAAACAAAGAAGTAAACAATGACAAATTTAAGGTCAATAAGAACCAATCAACATCGAGGCGTACAGAACAAGCTGTGAAACACATATGGAGAAATTCGAACACTTCACTTCTATCTGAAGTTTGTGCTGATGATGTCGTTCAGAAGAACGATGAAAGCTCCACGACCAAACCATCCAGCTCAGAGAACGAAACTCCATTAAAATCATCCGCCTGAGCTACAAATCTTCTCTATCATCTCAAAATCATATTAGTTATGTAATCTATTCCATTGTTATCACTAATTCATAAACTACCTCAATTGGTTTATTAATTTCATATATGCATAATATTAGAATAAAAGATGATTAAGATCTAATTGAGAACAATATTATTTGCTTATATGTCTTATTCTAATTTAAAATATGTGAGACGGAAGATCCCTAGTTCAAGTTCAAAGTGTGGGATTTTGAATGTGCACTGATGAGAAGTCTCATTCTCGGACGAAACAGTCATTCAGTACTTTCCGGTTTTTATTGGTAGTTTAGCTTGGATCGACTCATAATTTCAATTATTAAAATTTAAGTTTAAATTCACTTCGTATTATTGTTTACTTAAATCTTCCCATTAATGTTTAGAACTGTAATCGATCAGTCTCTTATTGACATATGTGCATACTGTGTTTATTGTCTCGATATTGGTTTAATTCACAAGCTTTGCAAGAAAAGATAGGTAGTGGTTAGCAGTGGAATCCAGGACACGCATCAAATGGATGTACGTACATCTTAGAGTTTATGTTCACTCTGGGACTCGAACCCAATAGCGTCAGCTTCAAACGCTATCACATCATCCACTTAGCTACTGAGTTTTGATAACCACTTGCTTATGCAGTGAGAAGATTTAAGTAAACAATATCAAGTGAAAATAAATAAATAAATTGTTATGCACAAAACCCCTTTTGATATTAATCAAAATATAGTCACTAGTGATTTGCTTCAAGAGGTAATTCCTAGAGTTCTAGTGATAAGCAATAACCAGTGCAACTGGTTCTGTTTTGCGATAGTAACTCACTGAAAACAATAGTGGATGTGTCGATCAATTTCGTGGATTAGTTGAAGTTAGACATTAGCACCGTTGGATGTCGTCCGGCTCAATAGTCTAGTGGTTAAGCGTTCGCATGTGAGACCGACAGGTCCTGAGTTCGAGTCTCGCGCACTGCTAAGGAGTCCCACGATAAAACGAAATGGTTGTTTAGTGTTTCCAGAAGGTTTTCCATAGTGATCTACCTTCAATTGACTCATAATCTCAACTATGAAAATGACTATAATATCCACAAAACACCCTTCTGATATTCAATAAATTACCATTTAAGCTTCCTTCAACTTCATCATCATCATCATTATCATCACCTTCCATTGAATTGAATTGATGTAATTTATGTTTAACTAATTTCTTTCCATTATTAATTGAATTCATATTATGTAATGGATTATTCTTAGAATATTCTTGTTTCATTTTTAATTTGGATGATGTCACATTATTATGAGGTTTATGTAATGATTGTAATAGATTCGGATGCTGATGCGGCTGATGATGTTGATGCCGCTGCTGCTGATGCTGCTGATGTAATAATTTTTGTATTTTTCCGAATGGTTTATTTTCATCATTCATAGTTTGATGATTTTTTTGTTTTAATTCTTTTTTAAATTTTTTTGTTTTTATGAATGTTTCAGTAGTATCAGTAGTAGTAGTAGTATGTTTAATATCGTATGTAAATAAAATATTCTCTGCTTTAATATCTCTATGAATAATATTACGTTCATGCTATTTTAAAAAAGGAAAGAAAGAAAGAAAAAAAGAAGAGAAAAGAAATTGAGTATTATGTCATAAGGTTCTGGGTTCAAATCTTATGAGGTGAGATTGTGGATGAGCACTGTTGAGGAGTCCTACAATAAGGGCGAAACGGCCATTCACTGCGTTCAGATTTTCTATGGTAGTCTAACTTTAATTGATTCATAAATTCAACTATTGAAAGGACTATAATATCCATTAAAACCCTTCTGATATTATGTAATAATTATAAGGTCGATAAAAAGAATAAAATCAAATCAAATGTACAAAAAACTCATGAAGGATAACAACAATAACAAAAAATCAATCAACATCAAGGTCGAACGCGTCGATAACTTCACTTATCTTGAAAATCTGATCTGCTTTAATGAGTTGGTGTCTGACGAAATCTCTGCACGGATTCAGAAAGTTCGTCTGGCTTTTGTCAACTTATGTCACCTATGGTGAAGGCGAGATATTCGTCTATCAGTTAAGGGACGAGTATACTGTGCGTTCCGTTCTAATTTATAGCTGCGAAACTTTGCTATTGAGAGGAGAAGATACTTGTAAGATACTAGTATTTGATCACAGACATCTTATAAATATTGCTGGTGTCTGCTGGGATCACCGAGTAAGTAATAGTGAGATTAGACGCAGGATATTAGAAAATTATGTTAAATCAGTTGGCGAGGTTGTGAATATTAATCGGCTGAGATGATTGGGCCACGTGTCACGTATTCCTGAACACCGATTACCACGACGCGCAATGCTGACAAGTGTTGGGGCTGGTTGTAGGAAAGTGAGAGATGACTAAACCAAAACATGGTATCAGTGCTTGAAGTGACTAATTTCTAGCCTTATCCATGTTGGTAGATGCAGACCATTTGGTTTGGGTAGGCGTAACTATCGTAACTTATTATTGGAGACTGTGTGATATGGTTTAGAATCGATCATGATGGCGTAGGTGTATACATTCTTTGTCTTCGCCTAAACTATGAGATTGAAATTACTTTATGCCTCTCTTTCTACGAACTAATTATTCCTTCCTGTACTATGTCCTTATAGAAAATATTCTGAAACTAATTTTGATTATGGGTAATTCTGAATAAGCACTTTTTGTTGACTTACTTAACAGACAATATTATTTGAATAGTAACAATTCGCATATTTCTTTGTATCGTTATGATCACTAGATCACATGACAGACTTTAATTAAAATGTTGATTGCTTAAATATCACTCGATGATTCACCCTCTTCAGCATGTATGTAGGAAGTGAAATCATATTATTAGTCCTTGCTTTGCCTGGCTGCGTCTTTATACACTATGACTATAAATTTGCCTATGTAATTGCTCGTATATACTTGTTCGCCTCACGGCTTCAAATTCGCTTGATATGCTTGTAGTTTTGTGATATTCGCTATCCGCTGATAGAATTTATTAGATTTAAGACAGCGTTGCGATCTATATTATAACAGTTCTCTACTGATGCACATCTTGCAAATATTATATAAATTTTTAATGCTTAGTTTTTATTCACTTATCATATTTTCTCAGCGTAACATTTGTGTTTACCAAGTTATACTACTAGCAAGTAGTTCAATAATTATAACATATTTTCTGTCCGTTTTTATGAAAAGTATCGAGTTAGATTATTTACTCTATGTATTTAGCTTTATAAATCAGTTATTCAGAAGATTCATGAACTCACTGGTACTTACTTACTTACTTACGCCTGTTACTCCTAATAGAGCTCAGACCGCCGACCATCATCCTCTAATCCACTCTGTCCTATGCCCTACTTTCTAGTTCTATCCAATTCTTGTTCATTCTCCTTATGTCTGTCTCCATTTCTCGGCATAACATGTTCTTTGACTTTGAGGATTCCAAGTGATGAGGGCTTGCCTTGTGACGCAGTTAGGTGTTTTCCTCAATGTGTGTCCTATTCACTTCCAGCGCTGGAATTTCGTTTGTTCTCTCCCATAGTAGGTTGTTGCTAATAGTTTTTGACCAACGGATCCGAAGTATTTTACGTAGACAACTGCAAATAAACACCTGTGTATTCTTGATGATGGCTTTCGTGGTTCTTCAGTTTTCCGCTCCATACAGTAGAACTGTGTTGACATTTGTATTGAAAATCCTGACTTTGGTGTTGGTTGACAGAGAGTTGTTTTGAGTTCCAGATGTTGTCCAATTGTAAATATGCTGCTCTTGCTTTAACGGTCCGCGCCTTCACATCTGCATCAGATCCACCATGTTCATCGATAATGCCTCTCAGATATGTAAACGGTTTTACATCTTCCAAATCTTCTCCATCAAGTGTGATCCGATTGTTGCATGCTGTGTTGTATCGGATAATCTTGCTTTTCCCTTCGGGAATGTTGAGACGTACTACTTGTGAGACTAGTGCTAAACTGGTTGTCTTCTCCTGCATTTGTTGTTGCGTGTGCGTTAGAAGAGCTAGATCACCTGCGAATTCTAGATCCTCCAGCTTGTATCACATGTTTATCTAAGCATGCTATGAAAAAAACTGAATAATAAGTTTATTTTTTATAGATGAACTCTAATTCTATAGATGTTCAATTTTTCATGGAATATAAATCTTAATGAATCCATGTACATTTAGGATTTGATGTGCAAATCTATCTTCCTATTCATTTTTAGTAACTTCACTTAAGTATGAGGTTGAAATGACATCTAGAAAGTGTGTATATTAGTAAATGAATCAGTTAACCGTCCAAAGTAAATACAAAAGCATTTCATCATGTAAGCAGTGAATTGTTACACTGAACCGGATTACACCGATTAAATATCAAATAGTAATCAATATCGTAATTGTCTAGTCCATAATAATGATTTAATTCTATTCATTGACTTGTAATGTGTTCAATACTTTGAGTGACTGAAAATTAGAAGTATTGTCATGTTAAAATACAAGACTGAATTCAAATGGTAAGGAGCTATGGTTTTGTTTTTTGGTTTTATTCTACGTGGAACTTTTCAGAATGAGTTATGTTTAGTATTATGGGAACTGATAATGTTTATGTGACTTGAACATGTATTGCTTACTATTAAAGTTGGAGAAGTTATCACTAAGCTACTTAAACAGTGTCTTAAATTCTGTAAGATCACAAGGTAAATACTTTCCTTCAAAAATTGCAATCAGTACGTACCCTCGATCCATCAAGGTTTTCTGAAGATTTTATTCAATCAACTTAATTTAGAACTAATTTATGTGAAAGATTGAATACTATTCAATTTGTAGATTTAAGATACAGCAATTATGATTAAGTCAATAACAAACCAGATCCTAGCGGATGAAGAAATCAAAAAGAAATGCTGGAAGTGGATAGGATAGATGTTGAGGAAAGCATTCAACTGTATCACAAGGCAAGCCCTCATCATTTGAAATCCTCAAAATCAAAGGAGAAAAGGAAGATCAAAAAACATGAAAAGAATAAACAAGAATTGGATAGAACTAGAAAGGAGGGCGTAGGACAGAGTGGATTGGAGAATGTTGGTCGGAGGCCTATGCTCCTTCCTTGTTCACCCTTGAATATTTGAAAGAGATCATAACACACATTACAAAATATATATAAAGTTAAACTTACTAAATGATTGACTGCAGCAATTAATTGTGCAAAAACAATTCTACCTTCTGATTCACTTAATTTACCATATTTAACAATTCTACGATTTAAATCTCCACCAGCTACATATTCCATGACTAAATTTAAATGTGAAAATGTTTCAATCACCTTGAAAAGTCAAATAAAAATTAGCGGGAATTAATTATGATTCAAATCAATTCATATAAAGATTTATCTGAAAAAGTTGTACATTCAATGATTTAAAGGTTAGTCATCAACTTAAACATTTTGACTAACTGTTGTAATTAGCCTATGTTACTTACTTAATTACGACTGTCACATCTCATGGAGGAGCATAGGTCATTCACTGGTATTCTTCATCAAACTTTGTTGTGGACAATACTTTCCAGTTGCTATTCATCCTTTTCATGTATATTTACAATTCTCGACGCGGTGTTATTTGGTCTTCCTATTTTCCGTTTTTATTCAGCATTCCAAGTTAGCTCTTACCTCCTGATGCAGTTTGGTGATTTCCGTAATGTATGTCCTATCTACATCCAACGTTTTTTCCTCATTTCCCCTTCAGCTGGAATTTGATTTGTTCTCTTTGATATGATGGAAAGAAAAGTCAATTTTCGATTTGATTTACTCACTTCCATTTTGATTCAATGTAATGATTACTCAATGTAGTATTTGTTTTCTTTTCTCGTATGATATTTTATCTTGTATAATATGCGATATTCTTCTATTCCGTTGACATGAACTATGCTCAGCATGTGATTTCATCCTAATTACTAATCAAAATGGGTTTACAATCAATATATAAATGAGTGTATTTTCTACTAGAGTCGTCGCCGTCGACGTGTTTTGGGGTTAATAACTCATCACTTATACCAATCTTTGTGTTCTTACTTTCGCGCCGTGGGAATAGCAGAAGTCCCTCGTCCCGAGTATAACTGATCAGCGAAGACCAGATACAAAAAGTAGCATTAAAAGAGCCAAGACAATAAGCATTCAAACGACAAATTATAACACTCTTCCACAGTAGGTTGTTGCTAATGGTATCGCGTTAACAGACTTTAAGTTTCTTGAATAAACAATTGTTTATAAATACTTGTACCTTCTTGATGATGTTTTTAGTAGTTCTCGAAGTTTCGTCTGCATGCAGTAGAACTAACTGACTTCATGTTCGTAATAAAGATTAAAACTTTGATGTTGATTGATAGTTGTTTTGATTACCATATGTTATTCCATTAATAGGAATGCTGTCTTTACTTTGCTTTAACGTCGGAATCAGATCTTTCATGTTCATCAATAATGATTCCTGGGTATATGAAAGTTTTCACCACTGTTAGAACCTCTCCATCAAGTGTGATTAGTTTGGAGCTCTCTTTGTTTGATTTGAAGATCTTACTCATAAGTCTTGCGGATTGAACGCTATATTCGTCTCCTAAGCTATTCTGTAACTATACGGAGACCTGAACAACGAGAGAGAAGACGCAAAGTATGCGAGAAGTACTTTACTCCAAGGTTCATTTTAATACAGAAAATACAGGGTTTTTATAATATTTTAAATGTCCTTGTGTTGCTAGAACATTCTGGGATACTACTAAACATAGTAGCAGTGTAGCAGCTAATCAATCAGAGCCTCTACATGTGACGTTTCGTCTCCTTGATATTTTTGGCTAAGACATCAAGTGAACGCTGATTGGATGAAACGCTTCTTAACGTTTCCTGATGCTTGCTTGTCTTTTACAAGAAATTTTCTGGATCACTCCAACATTTACATTCCCTTTTGTTTATTTTGAGACCTACTGTTGAATTAACTATTGCTACACTAATTGTCCTCAACTATGATAATTGATCTACCAACTAAAATAAACCAAATAACCCAAAAATCAAAAGAAGATCGTTTGTTTTTTTTGTTTTCCTTTTTCCTAATTTCTTCTTCATTCGCTGATAAAACTTTTCGGTGAGATTATAATTTATGGACGACGTTTGAGCAACGCTAGACTGACCTTGAGACTGCCCACCTAATAACTAAGACTAATTGAGGGTTATGAAACATTGCAGGAGGGATTAGAATTATGATTGATAGTTGATGGTTAAGGAGTAGGGAATTAGATTTCAGGTTTTCATCAAGAACTGACATTAGCTATGATGCCGAAACTCCATTGAATCAAATGGATGAGTGAATTTCGTGCCTAAATCCTAGACCTGTTATGTTATACCTGATTAGTTCGTCCATAGATTATAGTCTAGCCACTTTTAGTTTCTATTAATAGATTGTCTTAATCTGGGTCTTATGTTACTTCTGATGGCTGTGTATTCCTTTCTTTATTAAATATAACTGTATTTTATACACACTTGCTGGATCGTCGGTCCACGTTTAATTTTTAGCTCTCTTCACTCATTTTACTGTCCACACTCCGCCTAGTGCACAAATTACCTTCTGGTTAAATGTGAACGACTATATCTAGTGTGATGTGTGCTACTTATATTTGCAAAATGACCATCAATTGTCTCAAAATGGCCCACACTTCATTGGCCTTGCATTTTCATACAAATTGCATGCTGTTTCCATTCTTTACTGTTCGATCCTCTTGTCTATCTGCTGCCAGACATTCTGTTCATGACTAACGTCATATACTTACTTACTTACGCCTGTTACTCTTCGTGAAGGAGCATAGGCCGCTCACTAGAGTTCGCCATCCAACCCTGTCCTGGGCAATCCTTTCCAGCTCCTTCCAGTTGTTATTCATCTTTTTCATATCTGCTTCTATTTCCCGACGTAATGTGTTTTTTGACCCTCCACTTTTCCGCTTCCCTTCAGGATTCCAAATGAGCGCTTGCCTCGTGATGCAGTCATATACTACTTATGTCGATATAAGTAGCACACACCACAACATAAGTATGCTTATATCTTTATATCTATAATGGTTATAATAATGGTATTGTAAACAGGAAGATTTTTATAACACCAATTTTTATTTGTCTAACAATTATTATTATTATTATTATTTTTTAGGACAAGTTAAAGTACATTTCAAACTGTATACTTGATTGTAATTTGCTTGTTTTAATCTTATGATTTATGACTATGGTTATGAATATTTGGATAGGAGGGTGGGGGTGTGGGTGAAAGAAAAGGGTTTCTTCTTAAAAGCGAAAAAGAATACAATGAAACCATAACAACTAAGAGTATGAAACCGCCTTTTATATAAGATTAGGCGGTTTTTGACCGAGAGAATAATGTGTGGAAATAAAGAGGGAGAGAATGATGGTGGTAGTCGGTAGGTGATATATATATATATGCAAATAAAAAAACAACAATAACGGAACTGACATTGATTTCAATAAAGAATGAATGAATAGAAATGGTTATTTAATTTAGATAAGAATTCATATAAATAACAGTGAGATTATAATTTATGGACGATCTTTAAGCGACGCTGAAATGACCTCGCGAGTGTTCACCTAGTAACTAAGATCAAATGAATGTTATAAATGAGTGTGAGAAATTCGATTTATGGTTTAAAGTTGATGTTTAAGGAGTAGGAATTAGATTTAAGGGTTTTCATCATGAACTGACATCAGCTATAATGTCAATACTCTATTTAGCCAAATAGTTGACTGGATTTCGAATCGAAATCCGAGATCTGTTATCTTATACCTGATTAGTCCGTCCATAAATTATAATCCCACCTAAATAACTATACATTTGAGTGTATATAGTAGTCACTAATACTTATCCATGTTAGTTGTTAACTCAAAATATATCCAGTATGGGGCGGAAACGTGGAGAACTACGAAAGCCATCAGCCAGAATATATAAGTGTTTATTAAAAGTTGTCTATGCAAAATACTTCGTATCCGTTGGTCGGACACTAACTGAAACAACCTATTATGGGAGAGAACAAACCAGATCTCAGCGAAGGAGGAAATCAAGAAGAAGCGTTGGAAGTGGACAAGACACACATTAAGAAAAGCATCCAACTGCATCGCAATGCAAGCTCTCATCTGCAATCCTCAAGATCAAAGGAAAAGAGGAAGGTCGAAGAACACATTATGCCAAGAAATGGAGACATACATTAGAAAAATGGACAAAAATTGGACAGAATTGGAAAGGAATGCCCAAGACAGAATGGTTTAGAAAATGCTAGTCAATGGCCTATGTTCCATTGACGGTAACAGGCCAAAGTAAGTAACCTTATCCTTAACTAAGTTAAATCTCTTTATAAAGTACAATTAAAAATAAAAGGTATTTTAACCATATTAAACTATTGACTCGTTTAATTGAATATTGAATATATTTCATTTCCTGTTTTTTATTATAACAATTTTGTTTGGTTGATCAACTTTTTTATTTAGCGGTTGATTTAATTTTTCTATGACAGTTCCCCTTCCTCCCTCCTTCTCCCCCTTTTCCTCCTCCTCCTCCCCATTCCTTTTAGTTTGATAAATCTTTACACTTTTCCTTTTCAGTTACTTTATAAACAATAAATCAATTGATTGATATGAATGTGACTATGAGTATTAATGATTGTTGAACAAGCAATTACAGAAGAAATGATTATAATATTAAATTATTACGATGGTTGATGTGATAAGTCAATTGAAGTTAGATCACCATGGAAAACTTGGAAGCAAGAGACTGTCGTTTAGTCATACTGTGAGACTTCTCTTTGACAGTATGCATCTACGATTTCGCCGTCGTGAGATTCGAACCTAGGACCTACCAGTGTCGTACGCGCGAGTGCTTAGCTAATAGACCACTGAGCACAACACCTTCATAACCCCACCAAAAATGGGATCTAGAAACACTAGGTTTCGTGGTGGGAGCTCGAACTTCAAACCACCGAGCTTATATCCACTGTTTTTATGCTTATAACTTCAATCAAGTCACGAGGTGTGATCATGGATGCGTACAACAGGACGGAACAGTCAATGGAGAGTTTCACAACAGGGCGAAACGGTCAGTCATCCAGTGCTGCTAGATTTCTCATGGTAGTCTACCTTCAAATGACTCATAATCTCAACCATTGAAATAAGAAATTCTATGAAAATTAGATACCTTGTTAATAATCAACATGATATTGATATTTGAAAATTACTTATTATACTACTTAAATAAAAGTCTAGAAACTTCAACAGTTGAGATCATGAGT